AAACTTTCTTGAGCCTTATTTCAAATTCTAGGCCTGCATAACAAATCAGCAACAGGGATCCTTAGGGAAAACTTGTGAAGGACAATTTTACATAGAAAATATCATCCTAAGACAATAGTAGGTATTCTATAGTTTTATACAGAGAAGTTATTTTTACCTTAAAGCACTTGAAAGACACTACTCACCTTTGCCAGTAATTCCCTGTTTATTGTAAAATTCACTGTTCCTGGACCAGCACTGATAGCACTCACTACTGAATCACATTGTAGCTAAGAGAATAAAACAAAACAGGAACTTGGAATGAAAACAGGTGAACTGGAAAACTGTCATTCAATCCACTGTGACTATTAATTTAATCCACTGTAAACATTAAATGTTATTCATTTGTTTCAAGCAATCATAAAGGGATCATTTCATCAACGCTGTTGGAAAAGGAACAATTGTATTATTTCCCATTCATGCTTAATAAGCTCTGAATACAACTCAGCTTGAAATGCCACACATATGTTCCACTTCAGACCCTGCCTGTGCTTCCCTTTGATTGGGAGCAGTAGTTGAACTCTGTACAAACAAAAGCTGAGATACATTTGACAACTTACCCAGTAGCTGCCAGTACTTAACAAAAAAAAAAAAAAAAAAAGTTAAGTGACAACATTCTGTGGCACCCCATGTCACAAAATAAAGATATTAAAGGCCAGTTTATAAAAAATTTCATGTACAATTTCCATAAGGGACATGTCTTGAAAATGCTGAACCTGGCACATTTGGCCAACCAACACCTAACGTCAACAGGAATTTGGGTCTCTTCACAGGCCAAGAGCTTTGGATCTCAACCTGTCAGGTCTGAGAATTTCTTATTAAACTAGCTGTCTTTCATAGTCAAGAAGTTGTCTAAAAAAGGAAGAAGAGGGATGGAAAGCATGTAAAAATATGACACAACCACCTTCTCACTCAGTCAGTATCTATGAGAGAGGCAAACTACACTCCTACTGAAGCTCATCACCACGAAGAGGAAATTGTACCCCCATGCTGGGTCTCCAGCTTAGACAGTGACCTGTCCACGAGAAATCATAGCTAGCTTTGAAATTCTCTTATTTTCACAAATTCTGCTAACAACAAATTCCAATGCTAACTCCCATGCCACATGAAAAAAACATTTACTGTGTTGACACTGAATTTTCCACCTTACTGTTTTACTAATGGTCCTTTCTACTTATGGGGCAGAGAGAAAACAGAAATACCCACTGGACTTTCTCCACAACATTTGTTCTGATGAATGCTTTCCCCATAATCTGTCAATTGTCACATCAGTAGTTTTTGTCTCTCTTTAATAAGAGTGCTCATTTATCCTCTGCACAGCTTTAACCACCTCTTCTCCAAGTGCCCTGTGGTCCTTCAGTACCCAGATGTCCCTGTGCCCAAGGCTTGGACTAGGATGCCACTGTGCAGTACAGAAGCACTAAAAACCCAACACAGCGTCCCCTCCACAAAGAAGTAACAGTACAAAAATGAATCAGGAACCAGCCAGCCAAATGAAATCAAAAGCCCACAGAAACCAGGCCCTTCTGACTTTCTAAAAGACAATTTTCAGTACTTCAGAGCAAAACGCCTCATCTATTGTCTAAAGGCCCTACTGTTAAAGTCAACTGGAAAAACTTCCATCTTTTTCTGTCTAACCTAAATACCTGTATTTCAAATATTGTGGCCCATTTCCTCAGGAGTGACTAAGAGCATTCGGTTGAACCTTGAGGCACTCCATCAACTGTTTATCATGACAAAAACCAGTAACTGCCTGCATTTTCCTGTCTCTCTGCTAGTTTTTGATACATGGTTATATTTTGCTAGTTTAAACACTGCTTACCTTCTTTGGAGATGACATCACCACTCTAAACAAATTAAACTAAATGCATCTCATATTCACCACCCAACAAAAAAAAACATTCCTTAAAGATTATGGATTTTTATTTTCCTTTGTCTAGCTGGCATAGTCTATTTAGTTTAGGGGCTGATATTGATGGTCTGTTCTTTACTGTTGAAATTGCTCCTCCATGTAAAGCTGTAGGGGTTTGTTAATGTTTCAGGATTAACAAATGTTTCAGGATTATTTACTGAGCCACTAACAATAAAGCAGGGAGGAAACTTGCAGCTTCCTAAACACTGGGAATAGCAGATGTTTTTAAAATGACACACAAGGAAAAAAAACCACAACTTGTTACTGTGATGATACAGTCATTGAAACAGATTGAGAGGGAGGCTGTCGAATCCTTGGAGGCTTTTAAAACCTCATTGGATTTCAACTTCATCCAAAACACCTGCACTGGGGAAGATATGGGAACAAATAACTTCCTGAGGACCTTGCCAACCTGAATTATTTCATGTTTCTAGACAATCTTTCAGTTGTTTCAGAACTTTCGGTTGTGTATCTGCGCATTGTCAGGTCTTCTTCCCCCGAGTCAGAATATTTATCTTGCTAGAACAGGTCCAAGGCATGGATAACTTCAACACCTCAGCAGTGAAGAATGGCATGAGAAATAGTTTAGCTCCTCAGCAGCATCACAACTGGTTTTATTTGTCCTATTTTCAGTATTAACACCCCAGCTATTGCCATTTCCCAAACTGGCACACCTGAAATCACTGCTGTTCCAAGAAAACTCAATTTCAAGCAGATAAGGATTTGAAAGTAAGGCCTGTTTGCCCCAGAGGCCAACTTTATCCACTGGCTTTCCAGAGCTGGGTTTTGCAGTCTGGTTTTCCAAGCTACCACAACTGAATTTCTCCCTCAAGTGCTGGGCAGCAGCACAGACCATGGCACACCTTTAGACACCCACCTCACCTCACCAGCACTGTTTACTTCAAACTGTTTGAAAACAACAATTTCACAAGACCCTTAACCAAAGCTGCTTCTCTGTGAAGATGCTGTGTACACTCACAGTAGGTACAGCCACCAAACTACTCTGACCCAAACACATGCTTGCAGAAGGAATACTTTTGTATCTTCTTATGCCCTTTACACCTCTAGTCTGTAAGTTCATTATTGCATACATATCATATGTGACAAATTCATGAGCATACCCTTTCAGCAAGCTGCTGAGCCTGAAGATGCAGGTCCTGTGCTGAGCAATCTCCAGAACTGTTTTCTATTATGGAAGCAATGGAGAACTGGAAATCAGCAACATGCCTGAAAAAAAAAAAAAACAACAACTAAAAAAACCAACATATGAAAATCAGAAAAAAGCCCTGCTGAAATGCTGGGGACATCAGGCAGATCCAACCTGACTCTGCACATGACAAGTGCAATTGCCAAGCATAGCCCAGCCACAAATATCTGAAGATTCACTATATTTAGAAAGGTGGACTAAAAGGCCAAATATCACTTTTGCTCTAATACAATCAGAAAGTAGACATGGTGAGAACACCATCAGAATAAGCAAACATTATGCTCATGAATAAGTAAAATTTACTTGTTAACACTATTGCAACTCTTGAGCAGGACACTGAATAAAACCCCCCATATAACTTCACACTGGCTCTAAGCAGTTGCACATTCAGATCACCAGTGCTCAAGCATTTGCCATCCATGCACTGCCAGTAATTTGTACAGGCTTGTAAGCAATTATATTTACTTTGAGCTTTTTTTAAAAAATACAAGGATTTAATTCAATTGAACTGTCTTATAATTACACTGGTATAAATGGTCTGGGGTTTTTGTCTGTATTTTTTCCCCTAAAGTCTTGTTAAGCTTTTGGAATAATAGGCACGACATAAAATAATAAAACATGACCAACATTTTAAGATAAAATGTAAACAACTACCGTTTTTTGGAGACAGGAACTGCAGATATGGACTTTATTAAATTCTCTGGTGGCAGATTCAAAACTTTTGAAAGCTAAAATGAAAAATGAAGAAAAAATTTACTTAAGCAAAAAGACAAAGATCCAAGGAAAAATACTGCTCCCTGTTTAAATACCCACGGGTAATACACCTTTTAACCTGAAATCTAATTTATGCCCAGGTAAAAAACACCAAAGACTTCATAACTATTATGGGACAGCACAATAAAATAGAAACCTAAGAGGTGTTAAAGGAGCATTAGAAAAAAGGCAAGGCAAAACACCACAGAAAGTTGATTTTTTTCCTCACGAAGGATCCCACCGAACCTCATGGGACCATCGAGCCCAGGGGATACTTATGGACTGAAGTAGTCATGGAATGACAGAATGGTTTGGATTAGCAGGGACCTTAAAGATCATCTCGTTCCGACCCCTGCCTAGTGCAGGGACACCTTGCACAGCAGGCCAGGCTGCTCAGAGCCCACCGCTCCGGCCTGGAGCACTTCCAGGGCCGGCGGCAATCCCGCAATCCCTCACACCTCACTCCATCCATCCCCATCCCTGCGGAGCCCCACAGCGCGCCCCCAGCCCGCGCCCGCGGGTCGCGCCCACTGCGAGCCCCCGGGCAGGGGGGACCCGTACTGAGGGCACGGAGGGGACGCCTGGCTCAGGGGGCACTCCCGCTCCGCGCCAGCCGTGGGAAGGAGCGGGGCGTACCTGGGAAGCAATGCTCCTCCGGAAGGAACCTGCTGCCATGGCCACACCGCCCGGCGGAAGCTCCACAGCCGACCCTTATCCCCCCCCGCCCCGCATCTTTCCGCCGGCCCAGGGGCGGGCTGGGCCGTACCATTCTCAGGATTGATTCACAGGGGGAGTAGGAGGTCATTGGTTGCGCTGGGGGTGGAGGAATCGCGCGGCGCAGCGCGGAGGGGGCTGTACCATTGCTCCGGGAAAGGGAGGGGTGGGGCAGCGGCGCGGGGACGCGCAGGGAGGGGGCGGTGCGTCGGGAGCGCGCGTGCGCGGGAACTCCTCCTCCTCATCCTGCTGCTGGTGCCGCTGCTGCTCTCCGGTACCGGCGGGCGCGGGGCGACATGAGCACGTGCTCCGTCTCCAAGGTGAGGAGCGGAGAAAGCGGGGGGCTCCCCAGGGAGCAGCGCCGCCTGTGGGAGCCGGACCCGCGGCACCGGGCTCCGCCGCCTCCTGCGCCTGCTCCTCTTCCCGCCTCCGTTCTGGTGCCCAGGCTCCCGCTTGCCTTCTTCCGCTGCCCGGCCCTTCCCCAAGCCTTGCTGGCTCCTCATCCCTGCCCGGCCTCGCTTGTCCTCACCGCAGTCCCACAGGGTCACGGCGTTTCCTGGGCTGGAAGGGAGCCACAAGGACCATGGAGTGCAGCGCTTATCCCTGCACGGGCAGTCCTAGAGTCACACCGTGAGTGCTGAGGGAGCCCGGAGTGTCACCTGCCTGCCTTCCACAACAAAACCCTTTCCTACTTGGAGTGAATCTCACCCAGAACAGAGCCTGAGGTGTTGTGGCTGAAGGTTTTGTCACTTCCAGGTGGAGTCTGGTGGCTTTGCTTGCTGCTATACTCACTGCTTCCCCCGCCCCAAAACTAACTCAACGCAGAAATAGAGCTAAAAGTGCTGTCCCCCACACGTAGTGCTAAATATCTGTTTATTGCCTTGGTATTTCCGAATTGAACGCTTTTATGTGGGCTGTGTTCAGAGCGGGCAGTAGGGATAGTGCTTTTATCCGAGCGTCAGAGTAGCGAGACTTGAAATGTTGGATTGAAGCACTTAACTTATTTCATCCCTTGCTTGGTCATACAGTGGACAACAGCAGTGGTTCACAGCGTGTTTATCAGCACAGGAAGACTCCTGCCCCTCCCATGTTTTTCACTTTTTCACAGGGTTGTGATATGCAGCTGCATCTTTGGTGTGGAAGGCGCTGTGCAGGTGGTTGCTTCCAGAAGTGAAGTGCTTCCAAACAAACTTAAGAGTTAATCTGAAACAGCTGGATTTCACTTTTGATAGTGGCTGTTGCCTGATAGTTTGGCAGTGAATCATGTCCCTTCACCTTGCCTCCCACATCTTATATGTAATACTTCTTTGCAGTTTGATATTCTAGTTTTGTTCTGTTTTATTCTCAGCCACATTTAATGGTGTGGAAAAGCCAACGCTTGCAAAACATTCAGCAGCATTTGTGTTTGGTTTGATTAAGCATCCACTCTTCTCTTTTGTATATGTTTTATACTTCGTATGGCCAATTCCATTTGTGCATGCAGCAGCACAGATAAATCTGTAGGACACCTTTTTGCAGTGGAATTGTTCCAGAGTATTTAGCACTTGTAAAATAACCACTGCTTTTCTCCAGCTGTTTTTAAATAGTCCTTAATACACGTGGTTAAATGGAACGTGCCTGAAGGCATCCCCAGTTCATGAGGCTGTTTTTCAGAGAGGGTCAATATAAATATTGATGTTTTACTCCAGTTTCTTATTTGTGGAAAAAAGGAAGTAGCATGTCTGAAGTCACTCAACAGATTGGTGACTGTGATCAAAACTGAACATACTTCTGGTGTTTGATTTTCACTGCATCATTTTTTCTCTAGTGGCTGGACTATGCTAGGTTGAGTTCAGCAATCCCTGTGTAAGCATCTCCATTGAGAAGTATGGGATTGAATCAGTCTGTTTATTTCCAGCACTTAGGTGTTCCTTCCCCCTTGCTGCAGCACAGGAACCTCACATGAAAGCTGGGCAGTGCAATAACTCTTCAAAAGAGGTGAACTTCTGTAGAGAGGATGGGGGAAGAAATTTCAGATTTTCTAGAAGAAAATGAAAAAATCTTCAAGATGTTATGAATAAGAAGCTTGACTAGGCCAATATTCAAGCAGCAATCAATTTATTATTTAATATGGTGAAGTGTGAGCAATACAGCGCTGGGTACAGTGAGGGAAGTTTTTCCCTCCAGCTGCACACCGACAATTGATGGTTACAGGTATTTATAGGGGTACTCATCAGTTTTTCTCATCAGTTTCTATTTCCAATCTTTTACTCATCAGCAATTTCTATTCCAAATTATTACATCACAATTCTATACACTGTTGTGATTTTAATTTCTCAGGATGTATCTCAAAGGAGTATCCCCAGATGGTGACGGTCCAGTTTCCAAAAGAAGAAAGATTAATCCTATCTGGTGGGGTCCAGCTCCCCAGATGTGTGTCCACCTTTTAATTGCAGAGACTATAAATCTCATAACAGTGATGTCCAGCTTGCCTTTGGTTGAAACCATAAACCCTTGAGATGATGTTCGTCTTCCTTTCTCAAGCTGTTTTTCTCCGCTTCAGTAAGGCGTGAGATAAGCATGTTTCCTTTATATATATTCCAAAGCTACAGTTTCAAGAATACCAGTAATATTCTAAAATTATACTTCAAAAGGTTATTATTGCAGAGCTTTTTATGCATTAAATGCAAGCAAAAAGCAACATCTTTAGCACCTTAATTCCAGTGCTCCTAAATCAACTAGAGTTAATTGCAAACAAAAGATAGGTTCAAAGGCCTTTTTCCATGCTTTATTTTCCTCAGTTGTTATTAGAATTCACAGCTCTCCCATTGTCGGGGTCCACACACGTTGCCTGTTTGTACCTGACACAAAACACAGCTTTGCATCTCACAAAGAGCTCAAAGCTTAATACTTGAGTGATGAAATAGGTCTGACTGGGAGATTACTTTCTCTACAGGAATTTGTTGGAACAGAGGGTTTTACATGAACTTTTTCCCAACCATTTGTCATTCTGCTTCCAACCACCTACTTTTTTTTTGAGTTGGGATGCAGTTCACTGTGGCTTGGGCATGTAATTTCCTTTTGTAAGTGACTTAATAATGCTCATTGCATTATTCTGGATTGAGTTTTCCATTAATCTATGCATCTTACCTTTTGTTTTGTATTTAATTGAAACTGTACTGAGGGAACCGTGCTGATGTGGCCCCAGGGAATAATTTCCTTTTAATTCTAAACCTGTTGGAGGTTTTGAGACATTTCAAGAATCTGCTGCTGGCCCAGTTGATGGCTGAATTGCAAAACATAGTGGAAAAATGAAAAAATTCCTAACAAGTGGGCTGGGTTAGTGCTTCTACTAGTGTTCCAGTTGAAACACAAATACAAAGGAGCAATGTGTAACTTGATATTCTTAAGAGGCTGGCAATTCAGTGCAAATTATTGGTTTAATGGAGCACTGAAATAAATGAACAATGAAGTGGCCTCTGGAGCCAGTCAGATTGATGCTTGTATTGAAATCTGTTTGGGGTTTTTTTGCTGTTCTCTAGGGCTGCTTTGTTTTTAAGCCAAGTACCAAGAAGAGAAGATTGTCTGATAAAACAGGTTAGTACATTTTCATTTATGTTTCTGTTTTTGAGAAGGGTTAATCCTGAAAGCCTTATCATATCTGATTGAGTTCATATCATGAGTTCTGTGATGGTTGTGTGAGGTTTTCTCTTACTGCTTGATTGCTGAAAACTCATTTCTTCGGAGGAATGCAAGCAAATTATTGGCTAGAGTAAATGCTGGGTTTTTCTCATCTCCAGCAATCAAGATTGTGTAGCCATCTTTGTCTTTGCACTGTTTTTTTACAAGATAACTCCTCACCATGCTACCATAAGTGTTTTGCTAATAGACAAACAATTCACCTGAAGGTCTGAATGAGCCATTTTTAAGTTGTGGGAATCAGAAATTATATCCCATCCTTATATCTCAAATTTTGTATTTTATGTACAAAATTAATTAGGTATTTTGCCTAAGTTTCTTCTGGAAAAGAAGGAAGAAAAGCCATTTGTGTCTTCTGTCCACTAGTATTTGCTGTGGACAGGAAATATTTGCTATACATTTTCTCTAGATGTGTATGTTTTCATTTGAGGACTGACTCTTCTTGGAACCAGAAATAATATATGTTAAAAAATTGCTATTTGAGACTTACTGTTTTTATTCCCAAGTTAAACTACTTTTATCATCCCTAGAGCTGTCAAAAGGGTTGACAATTTATATGAAAAAGATGGAGAGGAAAGTAACAAGGTCAGATTTTTGTTGTTGCAGCAACCAAGGCCTATGCACTTAGACCACATTGAAATTTTACCCCTTACTGGATATTATGTTTTTGTTTTTGTGAGCTTAGACATGCTTGGATGAACTACTAAGCATATTCTAGTTAGCAAATGCTTTGAGGTGGAAAAATGAGTTTGACTGGAGTAGCCCTAAAAGAGAGGGGCAGAGCACAGAGTTTCTAAGACGTGAACTTGGATGTGCATCTGTCCGGTCTGGAAGCCCAGTTCTGCCCAATGGGAAGTTTTAGTTGTGGAACTTCTCTGCATCCATAGTTGATAATACTGTCACACCCCACAAAAGGCCTTTTGAGGACATCTGTGCCTTTAGTTTGAGTTTTGGTAATGAAAAAGGGATATTATGCCTTGGTATGTTACCAGATAATGTGGTGGCTGGATTTTCTTCAACTATAAGTCTAAGATCTGTGTAATCAGAGTTAGTTCTGTTATGTTTGCCCAATTATCCCATCAAAAAAACCAAACAATATTTAAGGTAGCAACAATTTTAATTGAATAGTTTAGAAAATATATAAATCAGGGATAATTTGGTTCAAATAATAGCGCATAAGCAAAAACAGCCACGGGGTACGGAGGGCAGGGTTCTTGACCCTTGCCACTTCACATACAAGCTTGCCAAGTGAAAGTCACCCCTTATATGCCATGTGTCAATGCCATCTCCTCCTATTTTTGGTTTGTCACTTTTCTGTCTCCGCCTTCATTACCACCTTTATCATGCATGTGCCACCACTCGGTTTGGTGGTTGCACAAGTCTTTGGGGGTCATCACTGATGAAGGCCCTGGAGTCTTCTTCGTTGTCCTTTAATTCACCTTTGGGTTACACATGCGCACCAAGCCAGTACAATGTAAGCCAAGACTAACGTATCACTGCATCTGCATATCAAAGCAATAAGTCCCTTATAATTGGCATTTTCTTGGACCCAACCAGGTTCTTGGTCATTTTTAGCAACTGTATCTTCAGCTTCTTTCCTGTGGTCCTTGAGAACATCTGCTGGGAAGGGGGGGTGGGTGGAGCCTCTCCTTTCCCTCTCTTCTTTGGCATTACAACTTTTAACTATTAACTGTTTTATTATTCCCAAATATTAATTACTGTATCAATATTGATTACTGTTTCAATTTTTATCAGCACGAATCATACCTATTTACCACAGTTCTGTATTCTAAGTGATTTTTCTTAGGGATACAAATGAGGTGATAGAGGAGACAATAAAAATGGGGGTGGAGGGATGTCTCTCATTTGTCATTTACAGACCTGTTTTGGTGGGTTTAGTGCTGTAGGAGATGATGTTCATCAGGCTCTTTTCTAGAGATGAAGCCACTGCTGGTGCTCCATTGAATGGCAGCCAAGTGGACCCACAAAGCTTTGTGAAACAAGAACATGATGATGTTTGTTTCACTTTCATAATAAAGGCTGTTTGCTCTGATTTAGGCTTTAGCTTATCTAGAACGTGAGATAGAAGCCTCTTCTTTACCTTTTGCCTGCGTACTAGGGTAATAGATTCTGCTTGTTCCCTTGCTTATTTTACCAAATACCAGCAATTAATTAATTGCTTAAGAGAAAAGTCATCTCCCTGAAATATATATGTACAATTGGGCCCTTTTTTATTCTCAGGAAAAAAGCTTTGTTTTCATGAGCTTGTGTTTTCCTTTGCTTTCTGTGTTTCCAGCTCATGATTTCAGATGCACAAGCAATGATTCAGAGGACACTGAGCTACGCTTTGTCACCTGTCAGTCTTTATGGAACCAGATCAAATCTGAAACAGAGGTGAGTCTTGTGCCTCACACTGAGGTGGTGCTTTGCATTTGTAATGGTGCTGCTTGCTTCTTTATTTCTGGGGATCTTTTTGACATGCTTAAAAATCTATGGCAGTTAGTTAAAGTAATGGGAGGGCCAGAAGTATTGACTGTTCAGCATATAAAGCAGTAATAATAGATGCATCAAGTACACATTCCTTGTAACCACAGAACTGTACACTTTTGCAGCTTCCAGCTGCTGCTTCTAAGCTTCTCTTCCTACTAAATGTCTTCTTGATTAACTCCTGGCATACTGCTGTTTTAGTTCAGTTAATGCTTGCCAGCCCTCTGAGGATGTTAGGCTGGTCTTGACCTCAGTGCTCCAAAATTCATACACACCAGCCCAGGATTCACACTGGATTTTTGTGAACACAGCTGCATGGATGTCAGATATGGAGTGACACTGCTGCAAATACAGCCTATTGAATTAGTATGGATGTGTGAATGGAGTCAGAGTTAATTTCATGTGAACTGTGGCCTCCTGACTGTTGTGTGTTACATGGAAGCTGCTGTTGTGTCCCTATAGCCAGCTGCCTTGCATTGTGGTATGAGTAATTGCTTCCATACAGCAGAGATTTCCTTCCCTCCACTATTCAGTGTCATGGATTCTGGGCAGGTTTTCCATATTCCTCTGCTTGCCCTTGGGCTCTGTAGACATTAGGAGAATTTTTTTCCCAAAGTTTGTGTTGGGATGTGTAGTAGAAGCCAGATGGATGTAGCAAGAAATCTGAACCCTTGGGCTAAGCTCATAAATTCTTCTAATTTTGTTCCAACCCTTGTTTTCTTTGAGGCTGTTAGGAGTTTTCCAGGTACTTTCTTCTGGTCTTACTCCTCCTGATGGAAGGCAATCCCTCCTATACTGACATATTGATATGAGCATTTTTTTAGAGTTTGAATTGCCCAAGGGCAGATTACCTGAAGTTATTTCTGCTGCTTCAGAGATTTTTTTCATACTGCTTCTGGTGTATCAGTGATAACTTTCCTACTGAGTTTTGAATCATCATCCTTTTATTCTGTTGTTGGCAAACATGGAGCTGATGTTTGTTCTCACATCTGAAATAGTGTGGTAATTTAGGGGCCTTAGAAAGTCTCTAGTGTAAACTCCTCAAAGCAGCCTCATCTGTGAGGTCAGACCAGGTAGGTGAGGGCTTTAGCTAGTCAGGATTTCATTTCTTAGGTGTTTTCAAACCCTAGTGGGAAGCATGTGGCTTGCTGGCTTGTGCTTTTATTCTAGGGGTTCTGGTAGCATGCTAAGGGAGCCTAGCAGGACGTTCTCCAAAGGTTTTGCCAGGGCACTGCTGCCTGGTGATTTTTTGGCAGGCCTTGTGTTTGCCCTGGTGTTTTCCTGGTTCTCTGCCTGAGGTGTTCAGAAGAGGATTTGCCTCCAAGGCACTCTTGGCCTTTGTATGTCCATCATAAACTGTGCTGTGGTTGTGACAGCACCATCTGTCATCTGGTGATGACATCCTTTCGTGCTTCTCACAACTGAAAAGCTGGCAGAAGTGTGGCAGGAACTACCCTTTGTTTTTGGAAGGTGAATTTTGGACTTTTTTTGGTTTCAGTATTGCAATGTATCCCAGTTTTGACTCCTGGTGTCAGAAGTGGCCTGGCAAATGTTCTTATGATAAATCTCATCAAGGACTTACAGAAACATTCTTCTGCTGTGAGATGAGAATTTGTTCTACCAGGATCTGGGCTAGAAACCAAAAAGCAAGTGCAGGGCTAAAATACAGTAATTTTTGCTCTAATATAAAGATAATGGTTTTCAGACCACATAACAAATAGTCATGACAAAACTGGGTGTCATGGCAGTAACTGAATTTCCAGTTCTTGTGATTTTTCCAGAGTGGGAATGCCATGGAAGTAAGTGACTTGGTCACTTGAGATGCAGAGCAGCCTGGTGAACTTTCTGGAACGTTATTAAAACAATGCTAGTAACAAAGTTGTTTTGCCAAGAAAAGACTGATGTATTTTTGAAAGCTAGGTAAATGTGTAATGCTGTGGCAGACTGAATTCCATTGGCACAAGTGCACAATGTAAGAAATACATATATACTGTAATCATGCAGAGTACAAATTGAGGTTCTTGTTAGGTCAGCTTAGCAAAAACAATAGTGATCACAGGAAGTATAGGGTTTGATGGAATCTGAAACAGAAGCTCAGAGGATTGTTAAAGAATCTGTGGTAATACAGGAATTGTTACAATGGTGTTATAATGCTGGTGATGTAAATTCTTTCCAAAATGTCATGTCACAATTTGTTCTGAATTGTATGGGATTTATCAGGTGGGAGTTCAGAGCTGCACAATCAATATCAGAAAGGCCAGAAGAATATTTTTCAATAAGGAGGATGAAAAGACTAAAATCACTTTGTGTACAGTTTTATCAGTTGTTTAGGAGACCAGCAGAAGCTCTTCTGTATTATGGAAATGGAGTTCAGGCTGTTGAGCAGGCATCATGTGCAATCTCCTGGAGATGTGACCGTCACTCTTTGGTAGTGCCCCCTTTAATGCTGCCAGAGACAGCCTTTGCCACTTTGCTTACAATCAACTTCACAGCTGTGTGTTACTTTTTGTTACTAATAAGTCTTGATGATGATTTTGTTTGGAGCAAAGGTTTAATCTTGTTTCTGACATGTGTGTTCTAGAGTGTATGTTGATATCCTGAACCTCAGAGTACAGGAGGGTTTTTTTGTCTGTTCTAGCATATCTTGCTTTAGGGACAGATTTTCAAAGGCACACAGATTAAAAAAAGAAACACAAAATACTACTGACATATATTTGCTTTTAAAAGTTTTATCTCCTCCCCCACCACTTTCTGTCACCTTGTTGTGTGTTCCTGCTTATGAAATTAGTCCTGAAAATAGTCCTGGATGTCAAAAGACAGTGTAGCAAACCTTGAAGTCACGTGGTTTAGTATTTTTCCTACAAAACATACTTAATGATTTCCTTTAATACTGTTTTTACTTCTTTCATCACAAAGTAAATTCAGAGGAGCAGAATATTTCCTCTCATTTAGACCTCTCAGAAAAATGTGTTTTGTAAGGTGAGAAGGAAGAATAGGAATTTCTACTAACATTGTTCCTCAAGCTATTTCTATTGGTTTTTTCTGCCTGCATCACTGAGGCTTTGTCAGTATGTTGGTTTTTTCTCCTTTAAAGCCTGTGGTGTGACAACACAGTTAAGCTCACTTGCTTTTCAAATTATTCTTGAGGCACTTGGCCAGAAGTTCCAAGATGGGAAATGGCTGTTTGCCACACAATTAATAAGTCAGTGTGGTTTATAGATCACAGGAGAATTTTAAACCCTGGGGTTTTAAGGGTTAAAGATTATGCAGGAAAGGAGTAAGAAAAGGACGATGCAGTGGTGTTTTCACATTTTATAGATCAATTCTCTCTGTGTATGTTTGCAGCAAATACAGGAAAACTTGAATAAGCAGTTGCTTGATAATCTGGTGAGTTTTTTGAGCCGGTCTCATTCTGACTTTCAAGAGAAGACAACAGATTGGACTTGCAGGATGAAGTTCAGAGAAATCCCTACTGCAGCTCTTGTCTTAGGTAATTTTTAAAAGATATTTTTTGTAACGTACATCTGATTAAATCTCACAGACACATCAAAAAAACTTACTGAGTCCCAGCAATTACTGTGAGCAATATCAGCCTCAAACATGTCAACAGAAGAGCTTGGGCAGGGAGAAGGAAGTCAGATAAAACCTCCTTCCCCTTTTGTTTATGTTAATTGTCCAGTAGGTCAACAACTCCCCTACAGGTCTCTCTTAAGCAGCTGGGAGTGATTTGAGGTTTTTTGTCTGAGGCATTGGAGATAACTTTGATTAGGTCCCTGTATCTGCCACCAGCATGCTTGGTGGTTTCTACTACTTAACCATGGGAATTGTATAGCTTCTGATAAGTGCTCTTGCAGTGCAAATTTACATAAAGGAAAGTAGTGTCTTTGTCTTGGGAAAAGAGCACAGGGGGAAAAAATAGCTGGAGATGAAGTTATTGAAGTTCTGAAGTTTTTTTTTTCTTCTACTTTTTTTTCAGAGGTTTGTCCCTATAAATCCTAAACCTGATTCAAGGCATGTTGATTACATTTTCAGTGGATTATTTAGGGAAATTAAAATCAGGCCTGTGCTTCAAACTTACTGTGTAGGCACTAACAAAGATTGGATGGTACTCCACTTTTGTAGGTAATAGAAAGTGAAAAACTACTGTTTCAAATATTTCTGTAGACAAAGTTCTGAACTGCATCCTTGAGGGGCTTGTTCTTTTTTTTCTGTTGATTAAGGATATTAACAAAGGCAGTAAATACTTGGTAGTTCATAGTGAATTCAGACTGAGTTTCACAGCAAATTTCAGTAATTTTCCTCTTTACATGAACCATTAGAGGATGCAGTATTCTTCTAGAGGTGAATTTAACTTCTTGTCTGCAGGCCTTACATGGCTGTGGATGGCTTCTGAGGAATGTTAGAAAGCCAGTCCTTATTGCAGGTTTGCACCCTTGGAAAATTTTCTTTTAAAAACCCCAAGCTACATGATGAAGGGTATTCACAGTGACTCCCTGTTTCTCTTAATCAGGGACTGTCAACATGTATGCCTAATCTTGTGCTAGTTTTTCATCTTTCCTCATAGCTGATGTGATAACTTTTCATTCTTTCCTTAAATATTTGAAGTATCTTCTGGATTTTGTCTACTTTCAGTTTATTGTGCAATCATTGTGCTCACGAGTCATGAGAAAAAATTCCTTAAAATTTTAGATTTTAAAATTTTTGTGCTTTTTTTTTTTTTTTTCCTAGGTGTGAATGTTACAGATCATGACTTGACTTTCAGAGGTCTCTCGGATGTCCTTCAGGATAACATTACTCCTTATGTAGCCTTGCTGGAAGCCAAAGATTGCCCAGGTAAATACTGCAATAGTGTAGCTGCTTCTTTTGCATATGGTATCAAATCAAGCAGGAATTCTAGCTTTTGCCCCTAAATGCAAGAGTAATGGACAGAGGGATGCTGAAGACTTTGGAAAGATGTGCTCAAACCTGTGTGAGCAGAGCAGTAATGCCTCCTGTATTTTGAGAGGTATCCAGCTCAGTTTAAAACACTGAGGATGGAAATGCTCCTTAGCTGTAGCATAACAGTTAAGAACATGCTGCTTAGTGTATTGCATGTTGATGTTGTAGGTTGGTTTTCTTCTTGTTTCATTGGACAGTGGATGTCTGCATTCCACTTTTTAAATGCTTACAGTCACATTATTTAGTGAGAGAATGGGCAGAATAAAATTGTCCCACCTTTCTTGCTCCTTTTTTATTTTTTAAGTAAAAGGATTAAAATCACATATGGCAGCATCCTCAGTTCTGTGGAGTGGCTGCCTCACTTATTTCTGGGTCACTCTTAAAGCATGTGGCTGGAGCTCAGGTAAAGATGGAAGACCAGCATCTTAACCTCAGTTGTTGCCATCTAGGCAAATTGCATGAACAGCATGCATATCATTAATGCTTTCAGGAGTATGAGATGTGCATTCCGGAGGGAGAAGGAGAATAATTAGAAATGTGGAAAATAATGAGTAATAACTTCGGGGTGATTTCTTATAGTATGAGACAGAGTAGTGTTGCCAGATAACCAAATGTCTTTACCCCATTTCAAAAAATGTTTTGTGAAGGTATAAAAAATCTGATGCAGAAGCTGATGGGGCAGCTGATGAAGTGTGATATAGATGTGGACTCACTGGAAGATGAGGACTGTGTGCAGGTTTCACAGAATAGAATACGTTGTTCAATGCCTTCTCTTATCAGCTGGTATGACAGTGTGACAAAGGTATGTTGTTAACCTTTTTTATCCCTAGTTTATCAAAATGCCTGACCTTTAAATAAATTTAATAACTCAGCTTTGTGTTTAAAACAGAAATTTAATAATTCAGCTTTCTGTGAGAAAATGCCAAAGGTTAATTTTTAAAAAATAACGTGATACTGAGGTGATTTGAATGTAATATGTGACACGTAAGTTACTGATGATATATCAATGGCAGAATTCTGAAACAAAAGCAAGAAGTACTGTATTATCATATGTTTAATTGGGAACTGGAAGCTTAAAATGCAGTGTCAGCTTCATGCCAGATACTTTTTCCCAAGAGTGCTGAGTTATTTTGTTTATTAAAACAAAACTTTACAGAAGAACAGCCATCCAGGGCAAAGGTACTGCATTAGTGCTAATGGGCCATGATGTCATCTGCAACCCACACTATATTGGCAAGCAGCAAGGAAATAACTTTCCAAGTGTTTTTGTATCTTTGTGTTTGCTAAAGCTATTGAAGCTTTAAGTTTTGTTTCTGTCATGAATACAAGTTACAGCTGATTTTCTGATGACTTCATCAGAGCAGTGTGATAAACCAAATGTGTACTGAGTACATGCTCTTTCTATTACTGGGTAAAGATATAGAAAATAAGCAGTGTCTGTGTACACAATTCAAATCTCCCTCATTCCCAACAGAACTCCACCAGTTCTGTCTCTCAGAGCTATTCTTGTCATTGTTGGTCTGTGTGTTTAAAATCTCTTTATTCTTTGTACTTTATGCTGTGCCAAACAGAAGGAAGAAAAATGGCAGTTTTGGGTGCTAATAATAAACACAGCTCACAAAAAGTCGGTCATGTCAATTTGGAGTACTATAATATCATAGATATGATTCAGTCTTTTTTATTTTGCTGGCTTCTGTGTATTAATGTTTAATTAATGGCTTTAAAGAAAACAAATTCTGAAACTCCAAGCAAAAAAAGAAATTCCTCCTCTAGACACTGGCAGTCTCCTCCAGTTGTAGTCATATTCAAAGACATGGAAAGTTTCACCACAAAAGTTCTTCAAGACTTCATAGTCATCAGCAGGTAATGTGACATGAACTTCAGTTCTTCCACTCCTTTACCCATTTTCTATTTGCAGTTGTTTTGAAATTTAACAGTTAGGCCTCTGAAGCATTGGAATCAAATATTGTGCTGCTTCTTTGCAGCAGTGATTGAGAAAAAAACTACTTGCTGTGTTTTAGGGGTAAATTACACTAAAGCTAAACTTCAGACTGTGAACCAGAGTGCCGAAGGGCCAGGTTGAGATAAGGGGTGGCTGATTTAATTCTTCACATGGTAGGATTTACTGGTACTAGTTGTTGTAGAATTTGTGAATGTGAAACTAAATTTTCAAGATGTCTAGATTTTTAAAATTGTTTGCAGAGTGTATTTCTATGTGACTACTGAGGTAATGCTGCTCCTAAAGGTCATTAGGTTAATGATAGGGGTGTATATAAAACTTCCCCAGCTGGCCAGGATCTGTAATCAGCAGCTGACTAATTCAGGTGCTCCTGTACTTCTGTTCTTCTTTAATGTAATCTGTCTTCCTTCATGTAGTTCTTTTTCTGTCTTCCTTAATGTAATCTCAGGCATGCTAATCAAAAACTCATGCTGTTTCCAAAAAGAGCACCATGCACTAGAGTGCCCAGGTTGGAGCTGTTAGAACTGGGGCTGCAATTCCTCAGCAATTCACTTGGTGTGCCACCAGCAGGAAATTGTATAGCTTGTGTTATTATCTTCATCTCAGTCTTAAACATGTTTAATAATAAAGGTGAAGTGGACAAATGTGAGAGATTCCTGATTTGTTGATCACAACTTCTGATTCCTTTTTAAGATTCTCTAAGGGTATCAACAGTGAACAGTAATGTGTGAAGTTTATTAGTTTTATATTTGTCTTCAGCAATTTCTTTTTAAGAGTTAGAGAAACAAAGTAATTGTGGGATAACAATTAAAATCCAAAATCAAAAAGTTGCTGTGGCAAAAACAAAGGAAAGGAATAAATTGACAATTTTAACCTAGAAGGTATATAAGATAGCATATTTTGTATCTCCTTGAAACTACTAAAAATGGAAACACTGGAAATACAGTGAAAACATTGTATTTTGTATAAATTGTATGCTGTCCTCAAGGAATACACATTCAGTCCTGATTTTCAGTTCTAAAGCAAATACTAAAAAATTATCTGAAGATGAAGTTTAGTCTGGAGAAGTTGGAAATTTTTTGAAGTGTGATTGGAACAGTCACTCATCTCCAGACATTGGAGATATTTCATATTTATTTTGAATTTATTAAAATAAATATGAAATATCTATTTCATAATAAATCTTGTAAATCTTGTAAATTTTCTTGGCTGTTACCTATTTAATGTATCTTATTATTTTTTCTTTGTATCTTTAAAAAAATCCTATTTTAAGACTCAGCTCTCTGAATAAAACTCTTTGGGAAGGTAGGATCAATCAGCACAAAATTTACTGAAATGATGCTTTTTGGGCCGCCTTCTGAAATCTGAATCTGAAAATGGAGTTTCATTTTCTTATCTGCTTTAGGGCTTTAAATAGCATCCTTTCTTTTTAATTTTATTCCACACGAATTCTCCTTTTGGTTTATCAGGAGCAAATCTTTTAATTTACCCCTTTCTGCATTGAAACTCAGTGCTGTAGTAGGAACATAGTGCATTTGTTACACAAGCTTCTATAATGTAACTATTACTTTTATTTTTTCCCCTCTTACCCCTTTATCCAGTCAGCATATCCATGAATTACCTCTAGTGCTGATTTTTGGAATCGCTACATCACCAATGATTATCCACAGACTACTTCCTCACTCAGTGTCCTCTCTGCTGTGCATTGAGCTTTTCCAGTCTCTTTCCTGTAAGGAGCACCTGTCTACTATAATTGACAAGGTAACTGCATTTCTAAATAGAAATGAGGAGTTTGTGTGTATGTGTGTGTGTGTGTTAAAGCACAGTTTACATGTGTAGCCTTTAGATGCAGGTTTGTCTGAAGGTGTTGGAAAGGACTCTGTTCCTGAGAGCTGTGGATTTTAGATATTTCTACTTGCAGGTGCAGAGTAATGTAATACTGAGAGCTCCCTTCTCATACTGAGACACACATACACACACCTGCTTTCATCTTCCATTTGCATTGCCTTGTGCAATTACACTTTGACATTCACACTTCTTCATTAAAGAGCTGTGATTTCAGTTTTACTTTGTTCCAGGAAAAGATCGCTTTGAAACTTAGCTAAAATTCTGAAAAATAAACTTCAGCCTGAGTTTTGCCACCTGTCAAACATTAGCTGAGTTACCCATATGTTCAAGCCATGTAAATGTTGTGCCTGTGGATTCTTGGTAGACCACAGGGTTTCCAAAATCTGTTACACATGCTGGAAAGTAGTGGTATCATTGTTGATTACAGCAGTCTCTGTTCAATTTGTAATTTTACAAAAATAGCATTAAGCAAAATTAGCTTAAAATGTTGCATTAGTGAAAGATACTTTGGAAAATGTGATAAAATAATAAACTTTAAAAATCAATCTTTGCAAGGATATTTCAGTAGAAATACTATTTTGTAGAACCTGGCAGTGTATTTAGTATCTCATTTAGTTGAATGTTAACACATACTAAGAGTTGTATCAAGTTGCACATATAAGCTTTACTGATTTAATTGAGGAGAGAGTTTCTGCTGTGGCTACTTTTTCTTTTTGCCTCCCTTTTAGCTGCTTCTGACATCCCAGTTTCCCTTCAAACTGGGAGAAAAAGTTCTGCAGGTTCTCATCAACATATTCCTGTACCATGATTTTTCTGTCCAGAATTTTATCAAAGGATTTCAGGTAGGCAATGATAACAAGAATTCAAATAATGGTTGTGAAAACAAAGAGTAATTACTAGGCACTGAAAGATTTCTTAGGTGCTAGTACTGCTGAATTGCATGAAAAAATATCCTTTGCAAGCAGTTTGGATCTGTGAACAGATGGACATTTAAAAATCTTTACTGATAAAGGTTTAACAGCAAACTTGTAGGACCTGGATGAAGAAGCAAATAAAAGCTTACTATGCCACAAAACCATTGATTTTTAAAGAGTTATGTTTAAAAGGGTGACCTGGCTTAGTGGGCAGAAAGAGCTGTGTTTTCCTATAGATTAATTTGTAGCTTTCTAGCACCCCTGACAGAAATCCCCAGTTCTGATCATCTGTACCAGCTCCTTGGTCTCTGCTTTGTCTTGGTGTGAGTAGGCTCCAGCAGAGTTTCTTACCACTCGAACTCCTCTGGCACAATTTCTGGATGCACATTTCCTGCCTTTTCAGGGAAATATTAGCTGCAGGGTCATTTGCTTGGTGCCTGAGAGGAAGTAATGCTTGTGCTCCAAGCAGTTGTGTAGCAGTGTGGGAGTTACATTTACCCTCTCTCAGGAGACAAAGTGGAAAAGCTCAGGGGGTTTCCAAAGAGAGTCTCTAGAGAGCATGATAGTTAAGTTTTTATTGTCTTATATAGTTCTTCATATCTAGATGTATTTCTGTGTCTAGGTCTCCTTGTAATTTTTGTGGATTGCAGACAGGAGTTCTCTGAAGAATTTGTAGGCCCTGTCACCTGTTTTAATGCAGGATTGTGAAATGGTTTCTTTCTTACCTAGTTCCATGTGTGACCCTGCTAGTAAAATATGCCCTTTTAATGTAATATACATTTAGAATTTCTCTGATTTTTTGATATATAAGATTCAATGATTACAGGTGGCCAGGAAAAATATCCTGGCCATAGTACCTCTTCTTGAAGACAGACCTTTGTGGTCTTCCATAGGTTTCTGCTCCTCTTATTTGAAAGAGTCATCAAAGTTTAGTACTTCTGCATTGGCCTGACATGCAAATACAAGTTTTAGACCTGACAGTGTATGTCCTTGTGTGTAAAAGAATTCAAAGCAATTTCAGATCAGATTTTTGATGTGATAAATACAAGAGATCAGCATCATGTCATTATAGCTAGGTGTGATGTTACATAAGAGGGGGTAAAGCTGAGGTACTGAAAATGAATAGCACATATAGCAAGGAAGGTAATTATGTGACTGTGAACTACTGTATAATCAATATCCTGTAGTGACTTATGGAATATTTATGAATTGTAATTAATTTTTTTTAAAGGAGTACCATTGCTACCAATGTAGTATATGCAGTGTATTAGTAAGAAAGCATTAAAAGGTAGATGCAGTGGGGAGATTGAATTTTATTAACATCCCTAGTTCTTGGTTTGTTTTCCAGCTCTGTATTGTGGAGCACTTCTATTCCCAGCCTCTCAGTGTACTGTGTTGTCACCTGGCAGACATTAAGAAGAGAGTTTATTCTTTGTCGCATGATCAGTGTGAAAGCATTCGAAGGCTGCCCTCTTTCAGAAGGTAAGGGTGGAAATACATTTCTTGGACAATCATGTACTGATTAGCTTTAGAAAAGATTGAAACAATCTGTAAATGTGGTTCTGTGAACACTGTAGCTCATTTGTGCTCTTTCTATAGCAAAGGTAAATTGATCAAACAGAAGACATTTCTAAATAATTTCAGGAAGCCTTAATGTTCTGGTTTAGAGAGTACAGCTTCTGTGATGTGTAATCACTTGAATTTACTTTTTTTTCTTCTCATTCTTAATACAGAAACAAGTTATTCTGACAAATAACCATAAATCACTTTTGAACTTGTTAAGCTGATTTGAGGCATAATCTCTAGGATTTTGGAGTGGCCTTTGAACTTGTTGGATTTTTGAATCCTTTTGAATCTTTCCAAAGAAAGATGCATATTTCTTATAGCAGCATAAGCATTTTAAATGTTTTTAACCCAAGGATCTTCCTTTACATTATAATTTTGTGTTGGTTTTATTTTTTTTCCTGCCATAAGGTATGTGGAAAAGCAAGAGTCAGGGAAACAGATTGAACTGCTGACAAACAACAGCTTCTTAAAGGTAAAATTTTAAGAATGTCTTTGGAGAACAGAAATAACTTGCCCAATATATCACTTTGTGGAACATAATAAAATACAAGACCAAGATAAATAGTTGTGTATAATATCTTTCATGCAGAACATACTGTGCTTTTTGACCAGTTATGAGGAATTAGGATTGGCAGATCAAAATTCCAAATCTCTAGAGTTGCCAGGTCAGCCTTTATATGAAGCTGCACAACTTTCTTACATCAACTTTTAGCTATGTCTAGAAATATAATTGCTTAAAAAGTAGGATACAAGGTTTATTTATGACCAGGTCTTTTCATGCTTGCCCAGACTGACTTTCTTGGAAGGTCAGTTAAGTGTTTGAAGAATGTGTAAGTTATCTTGGAGGTTATTTCATAAGCTTTTAATCCTTCATAGCCTCTGCATAGTTCTGATTGAACTCAGTAGGGCAGAGTCTGTGTCCCAAGGCCCACATTGACTCTACACCTCATACTGGATTAAAACTAATTTGTTACATGTTTATCTGAAGCTTTGCCAATGGGTTGAAGTCAGGCTACTACTATTGTGAGCCCTTTAGGAATTCACCTACAAAAATCTGTTGGTTATTTTCACCATCTGAGCCACTCCCAGTAAAAGCATTGCTGAAGATAAAGGGTTTCTCCTGACTCTTCATTTCAAGTATTTGTAACCTGTCAGGCAAATGGTACTTGCCTGGTGTGTAAGGCTTTTTCAATTGTGAAGAACAATGGTAATGGCTGGAGGGGTGTTAGGAGCAAGCAATATGGCAAGTACAGTTACAGTATTCAAGATGAGATATGATTTTACGTCACTTCCTGATCCATTGCCTTAATTGGCAAAAATAACTTAAGCTACAACTGTTCCCTTGCCCTTTATTTACACCTGCTTTGAAAGTTGAGTAATCATCAGCTTAAACTTTTTCTTTAGTTTTCAGCCATACATGTTTAATAATGCACCCCTTATTTCACAAGCTTCAACTCTTAACTTTGGGAAGGAAACTGGAATTCTCATACTTAGGTGCATATGATGCTTCTCACAGATTTTAATTGCAGACATTTGTTCTGATCTCCACAACAGAGGTGGGACCATTACTGCCTTGCCAAGCTGGCAGGATATTCTGCCTGGGGAATAAAGGTCCTACTGCTGCATTAATGAGTTGCTGTTTATTCTGATGTCATGCTAATCTACCGTGTCATGCCCAGCTTTGGAAACACTTTCAAAATCACTATAGTAATCTTGCATGTGAACTTTGTGTTTCAGCACCAGGTCACTTTAGTCTTTTAAGTCTTCCAGCTTAGCTCCTAAACCTGCAATACACTTCATCAGCCTCATTTATATTCCATGTTGTTACCACTTTTTTTAATAACTATGGAAAGAATTTCACCTATTTAAAATTTTCAGTTTTGAAAGCAATTTCACATCGTAATTTTAAACGAATCTGTCTGAAATGTGTCATGGCAAATTTAATTTGAAACTATGTAAATGTGGCAATCTATGTCTTTTATCTCTGTTCTGGAAATAATATTGCATTGTTTTCTAATTGCATTTTCAAACTCTTCTAAAATGGGTCATGCCTTTTCCCTTCATTATTTGGCAAAATACATTGCTATTTACTTATATTAACTACATCGTCTTGAGCTATGACCAAGATGAGGGAAATACAGATGTGTTAATTCTTGGGGTTTGTAGAAATAAGGTTGATGAAGCAGCATTAGAGAGAGCTTTTCTTAGCTTATTTTGTGGTGGGGATAATTTTTTTCATAATAATCCTACTTAAAATTAAAATACAGACTTGTGAATGTCTGCCCTAAGGTTTTAGAGGTTGCCTTAACAGTTGTTATATCAGTGACTCTTAAATTTCTCTTAAATGGGGAGAAAGATTGTTAATGGTTTTAATAATTTAAAACTTTTTTTAACATCAGAAAGCTCTCTGTAGCACTTTGATACTTTCAGTCTTTGCAATGTGAAGAAAACCTTTTCTTTCTATGCATCTGTACTTCCCTATATTGCCTGTAGACAAGGTTTTGCTTTTCTTTTATCTTTAATACCCTTTGTTTCACTTTCAGTCTAGAAAACTTCAGTGGCTTATTTTGTTTTTCTCTTTCCATTTGGAATAGTTTGCTCAGACTTAGGCAAAAGGGTAATTAAATACGTAGAGGATTCTGTGGTTTTTCCTCTTTATTTTTGACTGAAGACAGAGAACAGAAGATCTTTGGATTCACAGACTTAAATGTAATGACCACAAAGACTAGATGACTTCAGTATAGTTACCAGAATTTTTGAGTGTGGCTTTCCAGAAGCAATATATGCATCTATGGCTGGCCAGTGATAATGTGGTGCCATCCAGAAAATTAGTAGCAGTAATCAATAACTTCTATTTCTTAAATGTGATTTTTTTTTTATTTCTGTTGTTCTCGGTACATGAGTAAGCTAAATCAAATTAAAAACACATAGGAAAATCAACTGAATATTTCTTTGTTTTCTGTGAACTGGTCTTTTTTTGTACATGTAACTAATAAAAACAACAGCCACCCACAATATAAGAAATGAATTTTAAACGCATTTGTAGCATAAAAATTTAAGTTTTCGAGTAAAAGTAGCTACGTAACTTCTCATTGCCTGCTAAAGGAATAGTGTATTCTCTCATTGTTATGAGATGACATTTCAAGTCTAAAGGCCTAAATACAGTTGAAAATGGTAGAACACTAATGCTAGTCAATAGCAAATCTCTGCTGAGCTGGAGGAAGAAAGTAAAGGTAACAATATGCAATGGGAATGCAGTGAACTGTTGAAATACAGCTCATTTGCTTAGTGGTCTCCATTTAAGATTGATGATTTAAATCATAGCACAGTACAACATCAAAAGTTCAGAGTAATATTAAGTGCTTTATGGGAGTTTTAAATGGATGTCAGAATTACTTTTAAAATTATTCTATCACTGTAGGAAGAAACAGAGAAGTTGCTGGGGGACTTACATGTTTACCATGAAAATTATGTTCGAATTCTGAGATGTCTTCATGTTTTCACATCTTCTCTTCCGAAGTATCCTTTGGGCAAGCAGGTGATGTTCTGTTATATGTGGGTCTTATTGGGTTGTTGTTATTGTGGTTTTGGTTTGTTTTGTTTGGTTTTTTCCCTCAAAGTATGACAGTTAAATAAATATTTACTCTTTATTTTTTAATGTGCTGTTTTGCCCTCTGCTTCTTAAAATGGAGAGAGATGCTCTCTTTCTATGGGCAGAGGATGAGAGTGTGTGGTTTCTTTACTGGCATGGATGATACCCTGTCAGTCAACAGGAAGGAGTTTCCAGGAGGAGGCGGGTGCACAGATCAGCAAGAGGATCCACACCTTGACTTTCCCACATCTGAGGTTACCTGTATGCATTGCTGTGTACACTCTTCTACCACCTATTAATTCACTAGTCAAATTCAGATGAAGAGACTGAGTTTTTAGCAGCCTTCTGTATGGAAAAAAGCAATTGTAGGAGGAACAGTGATAGTTGCTCTGTTAATAGTCCTATTGCTCTGGTGTCATTTATTCCACTTCTCATGCTAAGCAATTTCTTCCGCTAGCAGAGCAATTATATATTCTGTGCATGTGCACCTGTCTCTGTTCTCCATGTATTCCATACTGTTACTAGAATCTGTCACTGACTACAAAAGCATCATGAACTGTTTGAGAATAAAAGGATGTTTTAGCTGGGATATTTGATTGGAGTTACTTTCTGTTCACTGCAGTTAACTTCACCTGAATGTTAGTTGTTTGGAACCTGGTGCAGAGCAAGTCTCTAGCAGAAGCTTGGTTCTGGAAGATATTAAGAGCTGTCATTCCTTTTGCAGTCATTCTCCATCTTTGGAAAACAGGATCTAAAGAAATTGCATATTGCTTTGAACAGCTTGTTGTAAGATTCCCATATTACTTTGTAAAACACTTTATCCTTTCTTCACCTTCTGCATAACAGATCAGGGAGTTGCACTGTGCTTGTTTGGAAAACCGAGTGTGGGAGACAGAGGAGTATGAGTCATCTCTTCAACTAGCAAGGTGATTTTTTTTTCCCATTTTGTTTTAATACCACCGTACACATGGAAAGTATCAGTCATCAGTTATTCTGGAACTTAAAGCTGAGGCTATTACCTGTTCACAGCTAGTTTTAGGGTTGTTTGCCAGTGTAATTGTCTGCTGTTTTCAGTTTGGTTTTCTACTGATTTCTGTGAAATTCAGGCAGGTTCTCATATCTCCTATGCCCTGAGTAATTTTGCTGAAACCACAGAGATTACTTTGTGTGAATGAGAATGAGTCGGGTTTTGTCTTTTAAAGTATGATTGTGGTAGATATTATCAATCAGATTATTAGTCTTAGTTGTCTTAAATTTTAATCTGGTGTGAAAATTAGAATAACTTCCCAGTGAACAGTAGCTGAGGCCTTTCTTTTTTTATTTTACTGCTTTCCTTCTCTTCCTGGTTTGCCTTAACAGTTTTTACAGGTACTGAGTTAATTTTTTCTGATACTGTGAGCGTAGGACTTTAGGAGAGGCTGTACTTGTGTTGTCTGTCAGTGTTTAAAATGCCAAAGTTGTCAAAGCCACTTTTCTTGATAGAAAACCTTTCAATTGCAATGTTGCAGCTAAAGACTTCTAAATGTGCTTTCAACAGACACATGGCAATGTCTGTCTCCTGATAGCTGCACTCATTCAAATGACCCCTTGGCTTTGTCACACAACCCCATAACTGTAACTGCCTCTCCCAGACCCCCTGAGCTGCTCAGGTTTGATGTGTCTGGCAGTAAAACTGCACAGAAAAACCATTTCAGTGGTGGATGGAGGGTAGCTTTCTGGGCTGATACACACACACAAGGAAACACACTCTTCAAACTGTACTTTAGCCATACTGAGTGGCTCTTGCACATAGCCACTTTTCTGTGTTCATTACCCTCATCCCTTTGAAAGGATTACATGCTTGAATTGTCATTTCTGCAGTCTTTCCTTTGTGTTCCTTCTCTGATTCTCCTCAATCTTGACAGCACTCAGTCACCTCTCAGCTCTTGCCCACAAATGTGTCATTCTGCTTTCTGTGCTATCTGCAATCTCTTAATAACTCTTGGCCTTTTTTCCCCTCTCTTTTTTCTTCTCCTTTGTTTAATTTGCTTTCATCCTCTCTGAATTCATCTGTCTCTTCTCCTATCTCAAAGTTGATGCTGCCATCAGATTCTGGCTTGCTCCCCTTTTGTTGTTATCTGTTCATCTCCCTCCTGTTGTTCTTCTGCTCCTGGCTCCCACTGTGGGAGCCTCTGATAGAAATACAGTGATGATAGTCTCTGCTTTCATAGATGGTGATTCTATGATTTTTATTTTTTTTTTAATTCAGAAATTCTGTCATTTTCCTAGCAAAACTTGTCCAACACAACTTCTTCAAGTACTTGGAATTCTAGTTGTGATTATAATTTTTTCAGCTTTTAACTTCTGTTTGCCTTTTTACAAATAATTCCTCTCATCTCTGCTTTTTCTATATAGAATCTTGCTGTTATCTTTTAGAAGAAAATTATAAAATGTGGTTTTTCCCCTTCTACTCACAATCTTTTTTTTCCCCTTTTGCTCAGGTTTAAAAGTTGCTCGCTGTTCCTTAATATCTCTGCCTTCCTGGGAGTCACATCACCTGTTGATATCCTTATGTTCACCCTTCCCCATCCCTTACTCTTTTTCAGTGTTTTCTGGAATCCATCTTTTTTTTGTTTCCTTGTATTTAGAAAGTAGAAAACGGAGAAGCTTTAGATCAGCTTATTACTCATTTTCTAACAGAGTACCTCTTTTGCCTTTTATGAATTATGTTTGAATGTAAGGTTTTAAGTTTCTGAATTATATTTCTTTTGCGATTGGCTTCTCTGCTTCAGCCTTTCCCTGGACAGGCTTTTATGCCTTCTGCTAGAAGTGCTCTTGCCAAACGTGGTGTTTCAGGTAATCTCACTTGAGCAATCTAGACAGTAGTTACTCTACCTGAGTTTTCCAGAGTGTAAAAGATGCCATGGGGTGACAGAGAATGTGTGAGCTTCAGTTCATTTTGCATTCATTCCATCACAGGAAGATTGGAGAGCGTCTCACTCGATTGGTTATGTGGAGTTAACTGGCTGGGACATCTCATCAACCTTTTGGGTGGCAAAACTTCAAGGACTGTCTGCCTTATTGTCTTCTGTCTAGATACTGTACTCTGGTTTTTGTCTGCTAATTATGGGTGGCTTTTCATCACATGCTGCTTATCACAGTCCTGCCCTTCTGTGAGCGGTGCTGGCCACCATGGTATTGCTTCTTCAGGTGATTTCCCTCTTCAGCTTTCAGGAGTTTCTGTGGACTTCATTGTAGCTTCCTTTCTTCTCTTGCATAACTTGTCTGAATAATCAGAGTTAGATTTATTTACTGCCTTTTGGTAATCTGAGATCTTCCTTCCTGCTTTAAGTCTGACTCCTCACCAAATGAAAATCTTAAACCCCACTGATACTTGGCATACCTTGCAGTAATCTCAAACCTAAAAGCTTGCAAAGAATCTTTACTGTTTTCTCATATGTGATAGCTGCCTTCTTGCCCTTTCTTTGGGCCCTGTAATCCCATTGTTGTTGTTCATAAGCTTTTCTAGAACTTGCAGTTTCCTTTTGAATAACAGTAGGAAAATAAATTAGTTCTTTCCCATTTGCAGATCTCCAGATCCGCTTATTTTCTCTCCATATTGGGTGTTTAACTGCAGTGTTTTGTCTGGCCTGGAACAAGGCTATCTTGTTTACCCGTTATAGTACAAGACAGTTTCAAAATGTTTTGTGTGGTCAAGGTCATACTTTCTGTTGTTAACTCCTGATGCTTTTCTGTACAAAACAAGTGCATCTGAAGGCAATACCTGACTTGTAAAAGTCTGTAACCCTGAAGCAGATAAACTGAAGTTTTAAACTTTAAAAGTGTTTAGTATCCATTGCCAGTTAGAAACTAGAATTCAAATTGCAGTTGTCCCTCCAGATATCCACAGAGCTTCTCCAGCCTCTTCTGAATTCTTCCTTAAATTTCTTGGCCAGTTTTTAGGTAGTTGATATGGAAACCCACTGCTTGAGACGCTGACCACCGTCATTGCTTTGATATCTTTTACATTAGGATTTTGAGACTGGGCAGTGCTCAGTGACACTTGGGAGAGGCCCTAATAACTAATACTAAGAAAATGCTGAGCTGGAGGTTGGGCTGGAGCTCAAGAGATCCCTTACAGCTTGAATGGTTCTGGGATTCTAGTGATGGTTAAATTTACAGCAATTAAATACAGAAAAAAGCATACAGATTTCATTTGAGAGTCATTCTGAGTCACAGAGATTAATTTTGTGGATGTGTTTACATAGTGAATTTTTTTTTACCATTTCATTTACTGGTTTTGGGAATGAGTTCTGAACCCTACCATGATTTGGTTTAGAGTGTTGGGTTTTTTAAAATTTTGTTTCGATGGCTGACTCACAGTTTCAAAAATTGCAACTCCTGTGTCCAGCAAGTGTTTTTAGATAATCAGGAAAACTACTGTTCTGCAAGAAAATGTGAAGGACATCATCACCAAAACTAATTGGTTTGTTTCTTTCTATTAATGACAGCAAGGAAATAAAACCTGACTTTGCTGCAAGACTGAATGTTTATAGTCCTGGAGATTTTTTCTTTTAAAAGGAATTTTTCAATTTGTTTTTATTTTTTAACTTTTTTTAACTAAGAACATTGAAAGCTGTTTCATCATTCTGCATTTCAACTTCAGCCAACAATTGTGTCTTTTAGGATGCTGAATAAGACTGATTTGGTAACCATGCTCCAACAATGTGTGGAAATTCTGATGTCATCTTCTGGAAAGGAGTTTGATAGGGCAGTAGAAAAGTTGAAGGAGTTCCTGACCCAGTTTCAGAATCTAGAAGGTGGGTGTGTACCATCATGTATTCCATTACAGATTATATAAAAGCTATTTTGTAATCTGACCAATGAGTAATCTGACCATTTTCCCTGAGATAGCCTGTCCTCATATGAAACCATCATATTTGCAGGATTTTTTTTAATACATGCACAAATTTAGGAAATGTTTATATGCTCTACTGGTATGTGGTTCGTGTTTTTTATAATACGGAGGAGTGATGTAAGATAAGAAATTGGACAGATCAGCAAACATTATCCCCTAAATCTCTCATACATGTATTTTGAGCATTTTAGCAGATGTTGTAGTTGCTAAAAACAAACTGGTTTTAAAGATAAATAGCAGCAGACAGGCAAGGACTGCATAAGCAGTCCTTATGACATGGAATTAAATCCCAGTGTTTGTAAGGCTCCTTCCCCTGCACATTCAGAGCTAGGACCCCAAGTGCCAGTTGTCAGCTCTGCTGACAGGCTGTGACCTGTCAAGCCCCTAGATTTGATTGTTCATGGTCCAGGACACATTTCAAAGTTTGGCAAGGCAAGTGAGTAGCAGCATTCTGTCTTTCAGAGGCAGGTTAACTGAAACTGCTGCATTTTCTCTGAAACAGGAATATGATGTATTCCAGCATTCTTTTGGAATGGGAATGTTGTTGCTTTCCCTGGATTATGAAGAAGCACTCCCCAAAGATTGGCTTTTGAAGATTAATTGGTTATCATCTGGTCTGTTTTATGCATATTAATTAAGCTCATGACCAATGTGGTTGCTGTACAGCATTTGGACAAGTAGGCAACAACCCCCAAGTGCAGTCAGTATTAATTAAAGTGGTCACATCACACTGTAGGGTTAACTGGGGATTGTCCAAAAGAATCAGCTCTTGTCTGTACTGTGTATTTTTTAATAGTTGTAGTAAAAGCAGAGCAGTGGTACAGAAAATAGGTCATCACTTTGAAAAAACTGTGTGTATCACTGCTGGTACAAGCACTGAGGAATCTGAACTATGGTGGAAAACCAAAGGTTTGTCTAGTTTGGAAAAAAAGAATTCAAGCAAAAGGCTTTTAAGTAGTTGGATTCTTACCTTGAGGAAATGAATAAGGAACAACAGCTCCGGGGATTCAGAACTTGCAGAACTATAAAGCAAAAAAGACAGTATTTATGTTTACTTAGGATTTGAAGATGAGTTTAAAATAGAGAAGGTCTACTGAATCCATGAATGATCTTAGTTTCTTTTCCAAGTGGATTTAATTTAAGCTCCAAAGGAGAAGTGAGAAGTTAAGATATACTGTACATGAATGGATTGCTGCATTAGATAACTTTTTACTTTATATTTATGTGATGGTGTTGATCTTTAGTGAGAGTTCTCAGACATCTGCCAAAAATGTGATGTACCCAAATCGCCCACAGAGCTCCTAAAGTGAAAGGATATAAAAATACTGTATTTTATAACAACAACAGAGTCCATTGTCCTGACTGCCCAATGAACTGAGAAACATAAAATCATGAAGCTTGAACAAACAAAATATCTTCACATTGAGTCTATTTTGAGCTGCAGGATTTGTAAAATAAAAAAATATATTGGCGTACTAGTGGAGAGGAAGTTTTCTGATTTGAAGTCTTCAACACTCAGATGAATGTCCACAGGACCCTGGAAGATACCAAATTGTTCTCTGCAGGTCACCAAAAAGCTTTTAAAGATCATGATTGTCACTGCTGATAGAGCTTTACCTGTGATGTGTGGGTGGAATCTCCATCTGCCATCTTCTTGAATAAGGCAAGAAATCTAGATTCCTTTTTTTCTGATTATCACTCATCCTGGCACTGATTGTGCTTTGGGAGGTTTGGCTTTTTTGTTTTTACCTTAAAATTACTAAGAATTGGTGTAATTAATCACCGAACTACGTGTCCATGAAGATGTAATTGTCTTATAAATTAAGGTGAGAATAAAACTGGGCAATGAAGTACCTTAGCATGCTTCTGTTTGCTGCTCTGGTTGCAGTTTCTGCATTAGGTAGGGAGAACTCATTTCTTAGTCATTATTTTTCTGCACATGAGAAGGAAAAAAAAAATTCAGCATGTGGCTTTTTGAATATTCCAAAAGCATGAGTAGTACCTAGTCCTAATGTGTCAAATTAACAGATGTTGAGGGTATGACCTAGGATGACCTAAACAGAATTAAAGTGATGTGCAAGGCTTGTGCTGGGCCTTTGCTCAGGGCTGAATTGTTACTTAATCACTGTTGGCTAAGCTGTACTGCAGACTCCTTTTTTAACAATCTTCTGCAAGATGCAAGACCCAAAAGCTGCCTGTGGTTGGGTCTGTGTGAACAAGGAACTGCTGCATACTTTGGGGTTAGGAGGTTTATGTAGGAAAAGTTTACCCCGCATATCAAACATTAGTTTTGTTCTAGTAGCAGAAGCTTCCCAAGAACGAGATGTGTCCGTATCGCCACAAAAGGAGCTCCAGAAGAAGACAGACCTTTATCACCTTCAGAAGGTTAGACCTGCCTAGGCTTTACTGACTGATTCCTTAAATTAATGTTTTAAAATGTTCATGGTTAGTTCTTCCCAGATTGCTGGATCTCTGAGTAAAGGGTTGTGTGTGAATGTCTCATCTTAAAAATGAATGAATAAGTACCAACTATGTATTTCAGGCCTTCCTGACACATAGAAAATTATAGAAAATAATCTATCATAAACCAGGATTTTAAAATGCAAATTAGATGTTTTTATTTAACTTGTAATTTAGACATTCTGCCTAACACATATTTCTTTGAATTTCTCGAACTCCTACGGATTTGAGAAATGAATACATTGGCCTAAATAAAAATAACTGCATGATTACATTTCAAACATCATCAGTGAGAACATGCCAGCAAAAATTAATTATACATGTTAAACACATAGATTGTGTTCTCCAGAGAATAACTGCCTCCCATGTAGTCTTATGCACCACTTTTTTTTAAAGACTTTGTTGGAGTTGAAGGAATCAAGGAGGTCTAAGAAACTGACAAAGTTTGAAATGCTTCGTTTTGAAGTTGTTGACTATATAGACAGTCTTGTAAGGTGAGCCTTCCTGTTTTATATTCCTGCATTAGTTTGCACTATAAGTTGCAAATGAAATTTTACTAACATGTTAATCTTGTCAAAATTGTGTCTCGCTCCCTGTGGCACAGTTTTTTTTCTCTTCCTATTCTTTCTTTGAGGGCTCTAAAAATAATAACTAAAAAAACCAAAACCGAACAAACGACACCTCTTTTCCAAGAGATCAGTTGAAGCAATTAGAGTACAAATGGACCAACCTACTTTGGCTACTGAGACAGTGTTGAGGGAGGAGTGGGTATAAGTGGCAAAATAAAGTCAAGAGTCTTTACCCTAATCTTTGCTGATCTGTTCTGCTTATGAAACTGTACAGATGTCAAGTGTGATATCCTGTCCATTTTGGGAACTGTTTTGGTGAGCAAACCATAGCAGATGCAGTTTTGGAGGCAGCTCTGAAGTGGAAAATGTGAAAGGCTTGTTGTGGTGGGGGAAGAGATGAAGGCATTTGTTAATTATAGAGGGTGGGGGGAGGCAGAGAAGCTAACAGAAGTATCACTGCCAAGCAAAAAGCTTCAGCTAGGAAGGCCAAGATGAGCACAGACTCATGGTGAGGCCTTGAGATGGATAAATAACATCTGTGGAGTACTTGACTGGGTTAGCACTGTAGCTGCTGCCCTTATTTTTGAATTTGTCAGTGTCCCAGCTAGAGTTCTGTGCTAAATCCATTAGATACAGGGTTGATAATAACAGACTTCTCTGCTTAAAAGTTTATTTCAGCGCTGTTCATCTTGTTTTTCAGAGATTTTTCAGTATTGGATGGGAAAGATGCATTTTTATAGTCTGACAGCAGTAGACTTGTGTTGTTTCCCTTCAGCTGAAGCTTGTGTCTCCCCCACACCCCCCTACCTCCTGCTTTTCCAGAAGATACCTCGCTCCTGCAGACGAGAGGGCCCTGCACGAGATCGTGTACTTCAACGGCGCCGCCGTTCTGCGCGGGCACCTGAATGCGGCGCCCAGGACAGCGCTGCACACGGCGCTGAACAGCCCCCACTGGTACCTCAAGGTGAGCGGCTGCAGGGCTGTGTGAGCGTGCTGGGCAGGCTGTTTGTGCTTCTGCATCTTGGCACACGCTCAGCTCTTTTGCAGAGAACTGCAAGTGCTGATAAGCAGCTGGGGACTTTGTTCGAGGAGCTGGGGAATCTGTCTGGCGAAGGTAATTCTGGGAAGGAATCCATTTTTCAGAGCGTGTTCTAGCCGTGATATTTTCTTTCTTCTGTAGATGTAGCAGAACACTAATTTTGTCCTCCACTGCAATTAGGATGACTGTCCACAGGGAAAAATAAAGTGTCTGTTACTCTTTCCAGAGACTTTCTTAATAGGGCTGGTGCTCAGTCCTCACTATGTAGATTAGCTGTAAGGTAAAGGCTGTTCAGGTGGAGTCATAACATTAAAATAGCATAATTACAGCTTTTTTGACCAAGTCCTTTGTTTTCCTCTATAATTTTATTTTAATCCTTGTTGTACATTGATATCCTATGTTTTCTGAGTCCAAGAAAAGGATCAGCTTAACCCTGTCCTTTTCTAGAAGAGAAAAGCAGACTATTCTCCACTTCTTTCATAAGTCAAACAGAAAGGATGACCGAAAGAAAGAAATAGACTAGGATTTGGAAAAGGAGTGAACACACATTTCTTTTTACTTGATTATAAAAGTTGCTTGAACTTGTTCTTATTGCCTAACATTTTTCCTAAAAAATGCATCATAATTTTGAAGAAAATATTGGTTGTGGTTGTATCAGAATAATGCACTATTGGATCAAAGCTAACACTATCAGGAACTGTAAAGGCTGATAAAGATCAGCCTTTGAAATCTACATTTGTATTGAAATCTGATTTCTATTGGGTTTGCTGGCACTGTCCTCGATTTGAATGAGGGTTATCAGTTTTGCTGTGTGCAGGAGTTATTACTAAAAGCATTTACAGAGCTTATTTGTGAGAACAGTAGTTAGCAAGTTACCATTAAAGAAACCTAATATGAACCTCAGTAATTTATATTTTTAGAAAACCTGTAAACACATAGACTAGGACAGCCGAGAAAATGTAACTACTGATGTTTTTAATAAGTAGTCTGTTCTCTTTGATGAGTTGACAAGATTTAAAGCCCTTTGTCATCCTGTACTTTGTACTTGGACATGCTTTAACATATTTTCAGCATTTTCTGAGAAGACTGTGAAGTTTTGGCATAGCTTCTAACAGTAGCAGTATTGGCTGAGTACCGTGCTTAGCATTTTAATCCAAGTGAGTCAAATATTTTCTGTCTATGACTTCTGTATGGTTTGTGTTTTTCTGCACTGTGACCAGAGCAAAGTTCTCCAAAACTGGAGAAGAAGGCCAGGAAGGCCTTCCAGAAGGCCAGGACAGAGAGGTGCTTCAGTAGAGTACCAGTGAATAATTAATTTGTGATGCACTGCTTACAGGAGTCCAGTTAGTTGTTTAGCAGTGTGAACCAAGGGTCGTATTTATCAGGTTGGGGGTAGAAGAGAACCCAAAAAAAGCCTGCATCAAACCCAGCGTAATTCTAGTTTCACTGATCCCTTGAAAATTGAGCAAGCTGAGACTTGGGATACCAGCTCCCACATCAGGGAAAGGATTTGGTCCTTGGGATAACAGCACTGATTCCAGAGCAAGGTGTCCTCTGTCTGCCTTGGGGCAGGGTCAGGCCAGAGCTGTGTTCTGGGTTGCTCCCACTCCTGTTCTGTTCTTTTGGGAGCAGCACCTCTGTGCTGTACAGGTGGATCCACAGCTGGCTGCTCCTTGTGGGGCGGTTCCTGCTTCTCAGCCTGGGTGTTTCCTCTGGGGACCGCACGTGTGCTGCAGCCTCAGAGCTGAGGTTTCCCCTGGCAGCTGCAGCTCCCTCCCAGCTCCCGCCACGGCTCTGCAGGGCCTCAGCCCAGGTACCACAGGGGAGGCTGGGGTCACTCAGGGCTGCTGCAGATGAGTTCCAGGAGTGTGCAGTTGCTCTGGAAGTTGCATCCTCTCTTGGTTGACTGTCCTGAGCTTAAAATTAAAAAAGCAATGCAAAGAGTCCAGCATTGCCAGGTTGGCACATGGGTGAGTAGTAGAAAACCACAGAGCTGGGTGCTGTAGCAGAGGGGAAAGGGAAGGGTGTAGTGTTGTCCTTTTGGGCAGTGGTGAGTCACTAGATCTAGATCAGCCAGAAGTGTAACCTCATATGTGCCAGGTACTAACACAGGAGTATTGGAAACCATTGTGGTACACTCCTGAGTTACAGAAGTGCACCATAATACCCCTGAGTTCCTGATGAACTAATGTCAGCCTTGTAACACTCTGAGGGGTTAGCCATATTCTCTAAATTTTTCTGGAAACCCTCTTGCACTGAACTGACAGATACTAACCTAAGGTCTATAGCTTTTATGTTCCTTGTAAGGGAGAGTAAATAAACTTGAAAATTGCTAGGTGTTCTGTAAATTGTGAAATGTCACATAAGTGACAGAGTCCAAACTGGAGCTGAGTCTCAAAAATTGCAGGAATTCAGATCTATGGGTAAACTACAGATTCTTGGGCAAAATTTTTTTGCTTAGCCTTCTTTCCTGTCTTGAAAAGCATTTTTCTTTTGAAGGTATCTGTCATTACTGCAGCTTTATAACTTCCCTAAAATTGCTTGTATATTTTACTAGCATATGAAAGTGTTTTAGAACAAACTTCTGTGACCTGAAAGGAATGATCAGTAGTTGTTTTCATGTTAAGACAGCTGACTTCTTAGAGTGCATGAAACTGAAATGAAATGCTGTAAACTTCTGCAGCTGTATAGAGACTTTGCCTCTGGCTCGAGTGGCTTTTCAACTTCCCAAGTAAATGGTTCAGTGCTGATGACCTTGAATCCAGGAGGCTGGAAAGCTGCCCAGCAGAAAAGGGCCTGGGGGTGCTGGTCAGGAGTGGCTGAACACGAGCCAGCTGTGCCCAGGTGTCAGGAAAGCCAGTGGCACCTGGCCTGGAGCAGCAGGGCCAGGGCAGGGATTGTCCCCTGTGCTCTGCAATGGTGAGGCTGCATCTTGAGTGCTGTGTCCAGTGCTGGGCCCCTCCCTTTAAAAAGGGAGCTGGAGCATGTCCAGAGAAGGACAACAAAGCTGGGAGGGTCCTCTGAGGAGCAGCTGGGAGAGATGGGATTGTTTAGCCTGGAGAAAAAGAGGCTCAGGAGGAACCTTATCACTCTCTACAGCTGTCTGAAAGGAGGCTGGAGCCAGGTGGGGATTGGCTTCTTCTCCCAGGGAATCTGCAACAGGACAAGAGAAAATGGCCTCAAGTTGCACCAGAGGAGGTTTAGGTTGGATATTTGGAAAAATTTCTTCCTGGAAAGAATCAGCATTGGAACAGGCTGCCCAGGGAAGTTGTGGACTCACCATCCCTGGAGAGATTTAAAAGACATGTGGATGTGGCAGTAAAGAACACAGTTTAATGGTGGCCTTGGCAGTGCTGGGCTAATCATTGGACTCACATGATCTGCAAGGGCTTTTCCAACCTTAATGATTCCATGAATTTCCTCAAACATAGTGTACTTAGTGAGAAATTAGACTTTTGCCTTTACAGATGCTGAGTTTCAAGCTAGAGATAAATGATTGTTACATTTCAAAGGTAAAACTCCGAGATGAGAGAAGCAATTATTTTTAGTACATATGACAGATCTATAGTAAGTCTTCCTTTCAAGGAGGCTGGGGGAAAGATTACACTTTCCTATTTTCTACATGGCAAATCATGACTGGTTTCTTCTCCTGACATAAAATGGAGTATTTCTCTCTCATATGTAAATAGAACTAGCAAAAATGCATAAAAGAATAATCAGATAATCACTCATTACAGCAGATGCTGCGTAAGTGTTACAGAAGGAACACCAGGAGTGAAGTAGCTGTGGGGGGTTTGTTGTTTTTTTTTAATAGTATGCATATTTTCCTCTTTGTTTTTGTTTTTTTTTTTTTCCTTTGTACCATCAACTTGCCATTAAACACACAAACAGTAAACATTTGCATAAAATACTTACTATCTGAATTACCTGAAATAATGTTTTGTCTAGCCCTTGGAATTGCTCAAGATTAGACACTGATCAAAGTTACTGCCTTCAATTTTTTTCATCAGAACCAAGCTCTGAGATGTGATGGAGGAGGCATTTCCAACAAAGCCCCTGACATATGCATAGTGTATAAGCTTCATTTGGAATGTGGCAGATTGATCAATCTCGTGGATTGGTTAGAGGTATGTGATGTAAACAGTGCCTTTGCCTGCTGTCAGTATTCTGATTTCCCTTTTTCCTGCATGGCTGCTTTTCTTCAGTGCCCCTTCTGACAGCTTATATCATTGCATAACTTGGTCCACAAGACCACAAGAACCCACTGTAACTCCAATACATCTTTCTCTATTGTGAATCATTTATTTCCAGCTCTGTCAATCTCTGATGAAACTATTTTGCTTTTGCTTCTATTTTAAGCTCAGCACAGGTCAGATTTTGTGCTTAACAAAATTGCCTTTCTTTTCTTTTTTTTTTTTTGTCTTTAAGTATTCTGTGACACTTTTATGGAAACAGGCAGTGGGGGCTCTTGGAGAGAATGCTTGTGCCAGGAAAAAGCCTGGGTCCTTCTAGCTTGATAACCTGTCTCATACTGTAGCCAAAAGCAGACAGAATATAGCAAGAGAACGTACATTAATATGATAAAGTCTCCCTGGCTAGCAATCACATTTTAGCTCTAAGGTTTCCTAAACTTGAGTGGCTCTTCTGTATTTTGTAAACCTACCTGCATGTCATTACCAGTATATTTTAGCAACCACAGCATCCTCTGCAAGAAACCCTGTAGCTTAACCACCTGCATTTAGAGGATACTCCTTTTGCTTCTTCCAGCTGTGTTTTGTTTGCTGCTGCCCTGGTTGTGTATTGTGTATTCCTACCCAGACTCCTGATGTCCCTCAGTTTTATAGATTTCTTCACAGCCAACTTACCTCTATCACTTCCCCAAAATATTTAAGCAGTCTCACCTTGGGAATATTTTTTCAGTTCTGTAGTTTCTGTGAGAATGGGTCAGGAACCAGAACCATTTGAGATCTAAAATGCAGGCACAGGAGCTCAGAGAGTGATGTCTTGCATTCTGTATTCCTGCCATGGTAATGTGTAACCTTGCTTGCTCTTTGATTGCTGCTGAACTGACACACTCCTGGAGTTCTCCTTCCAAGATCTTATTCCCCCTGAATGATGGCCTTCAGCTCAGAGGTCACTGTTTTATATGCAGATCTATCTGTCTGGATATAAAACTGGAATAAACCTGGAATAAGTCTGTGCTGCTTTTCCCTTTCTAGGCTTTCTCAACTGTGGTGATGGCAGCTGAGGAACCAAATGCAGATGCAGCTTCCTCAGACCAGGTGGATGATGTTATCCAGTATCCTTTCTCATTTTTCTCAAGCTTGACATGGAAAAGCTTACAGGATTTATGAACCAGGGGTTTTAAAATATAGTTTCATGTACACTGATTAACTAATTTCAGAAAAATTATTTTAAATTCTTTTAAACTGATCTATTTCTTAGACATTTTCAATACATTAAGGCAGGTGCCTTAATGTATTGAAAATGTCTAAGAAATAGATCAGTTTAATTAGCTGGGCTGGGAATGGTGATGTAGGAGAGGAGCTTTTGTCTACAGGAGGGTTTGGGTCTGAAACAGAACCAAAAGTCCATAAAACAAGTTGAAACTGTTTGGGTAAATCATCAGAGAGCTGGTATAGCTGCTGGGTAGGGGTAGAGCATTACTGGGGAACAGAGGGAGGAGAGCTCTGACCTAGAGAGCACATGGAGAAATAGAGCTCATTGTGTTCCAGTACCTTGGAGCTGAGAACTTACTTTGCACAGGACACCCATTCTGCTTGTTACTTTGTCCTGATCCTGAACTGAGGTCTAAAAAAATATTTAATAGATGAGCATTAGAACCAAAACTCATGGCTACAGCAGTAGTGCTGCCACAGATGGGTAGTTATGCAAAAATAGGCTTAACTAAAGGAATCATAATTATATGCTCTAATACTATACCTGGCTTTCCTGGCCCTTCCTTTTTTACAAGCTCTACTGTTAATTGTCACTCACAATAAATTTAATTCTCTAACTCGGGAATATAAACCTGTATGTCAGGGAGGCAGCAACAAAGGCAGTGAATGAAAAGGAGAAGGTGGTGCCATGAAACCTCAGAAAAAAATCTCTAATTATCTATCCATTTTTTTGTCAAGGGGCATAAAAGTATAAATTCTTCTGAGACACTACAAAATTGGTATGGTTGTAGGCTTTAAGCTTCTCTTAGCAGTGGGAAAAGGAACTCTTCCTTTGCTGTCATGTCATATGCATGTGGCAGAACTACTGATCAGATTGAAGATTTGTGTTTCTGTAGGCAGCTCGTGCTCTGCCCTTATTTCCAACAATTTTATTGTGCAACACGTTGTGAAATCTGTGCTTACCATGACTTAGAAATCTTGTCCTCCTAGAAGAGAACAGTGTGTCTGTCACTGTCTCATCAGAAGTGTACTTGGTTTCTTTCCTTCACTGACATGCCCAGTGCTCGCTTTATTCGAGCCGTTTCAGAACTGGAGCTCCTGGGCTTCATAAAGCCCAGCAAGCAGAAAACTGACCACGTGGCAAGGCTGACATGGGGAGGCTGTTAATGTGCCACCAAGGTGCTAAAAAACCTTCCCGACAGAGCAAGGGCTCTGTTCCCACCACTCTACTTCTTCCTAACTTTGCATACTGAGTCAAAGTCAGCAGTGCCTGAGTGCTGTGAGATACATTCTGAGTGCCTGGGCAGGCTTGAATAGAGATGTTTTTTTAATGCTCATCTTCCCTGTGTAATGTTCTGTTGTATTAATGCTCATGTTCCAATTACTGTATTGTTGTGCCAGTTTCAGTCTTCTTTGATGTGTGATATTTAACAGTCCACTGATACAACTCAGGCTAGCAAGCCAAAAGGACAACACTGGCTGTGTCAGACAAACAGTGATGAAGCAGTATTATTAACATCCTTATAAGCTGATAGGATTTGAGTCATTATTATAAAATGCCTCTTCGATCCTTGAACTCAATTTAAAAATAAAAAAAACAAGTATGCTAAAGAAGACAATGAACTTGCATGTTCAGCCTCTGCTGTGTGTTCTTCCAAACTAGTCCTAACTCCCTAAAAACTTGAGGAAGAGAATAATTGTGAAGATGCAAAGTTTTGCCCTTTGCCAAGAGCAGAAGTGAACTGTTTGAATTCCTTTTTCTAGTTGAAGTTGATGGGTGCTAGCTGACTCCTGCTGTTAGGAAAACTTGTGTCAGCAGACTGAGACCGTGGCAGTTGTGCACTCGGGTGGAAGGCAGGAAAATCCCCACCTAAAGCACATGTTGTAACCTCCCTCTTTGCCATTGGTTTGTGCTGCAGGCAGGCAAAGGAAACAGCTGTGTCAAAAGCAAGGTAGGCTGAGCGTGTACCAGCGCTGCTCATCTGATGATCAGTCTTCAAAAAGCCTTCTCACACCAACCTTTTCCCTTGACTCTGTGTAAGGAGCAAATGTGTTCATGCCAGTGTCTGTGCCCTGTTCCTCAACCATGGTTAGGAACCAAAGGGGAAGAGCTGCATTGCCCTCCAGAGCAGTGCATCTGCCATGCTTTGATAAACCCTCTGTAATCACTTCCATAAACCAGATCTGTCCTGGGGAGAGGAAGTCCTGTTACAGAACCAGTAACTCAGCCAGCTGTTTCCCCAGGAATGTATATAAGAGATGTCAGGCTTGTTTTAAATACACAACTCCTGCCCTCTCTGAGTGTATTTTCCAGCTGCAGGAATTACAGAGTCACAGCAACACCTCCTCTGTGTGTAAGTGGGGGTCTGGTTCTAAATGCTGCCAGTCAGTTCAGAAGGGGGAGGAGGAGGAGGAGGAGCTTATCAGACTCTACTGCCAGAACATACAACTTGGGAAACAATGACAAAAAACTCAAGAGCATGAACTTTTAGGATCACAGTGGAGCACTTGCAAAAGTTTCACGACCCAGGTAAAATATTCCCATTCTTCCCTGGTGAGCAGGCTCAGGGACCTGTGCAGTAGCACAGACAGCTTTCCAGCAGCAGAGAGGAAAGTGAGGCATTTCAGCAGAGGGGAAGGCTCAACACCCCCATCCTGAACCTCACCCCATTTATCTCACAAACACACTTGACAAATGAAAGGGAGCAGCACCAAATGTCTTGTGATGTGCAAGAGGACAAGAGGCCAAGTGCTTTGCTGTGTGGCTGTCTCCTGCCACCCCCCTCCGCTAACCTCACCCCAGGTAACTTGCACACCCCCAAAGGGTAAAACATTCAGAAATAAAGAGAAACCAGCCTCAACAGTGTGTGGCCTTTAATCCCCAAATGTGCAGGCAACATGACATTAAAACAGTAAAATTAATAGTTAATGGCTGTTTCTTCCCTTGAACTAGTAACAGATTTGTACGGTTAAAGTCACATTTTCTGTGCTACATAAGGTTTCTCAGATCAAATCTGTACTTGGCGCTTTATTTTCTTCAGCAAGGAGGGTAAGAAGGTTGAACAGTTAAAAACACAAACTAAACTGGTCATAAATGTAATTTAGTTCACCTTTCTTTCTTCAGAAGCTGGACTTTGCAATCAGTCCTACTTTCCTGGAAAGAGCTTAACATCACTGAATCTGGAACCAACATCAGTAACAGCTGAGACACCCTCATATACCTTAGCTGAAACAAATTTCAACTGGAAAATTAAAAATTAGTTTCTACAGCTGTCTGCCTAGTAATTACATGTTTTGCAGACATTCAAAAAAATCTTCACTGTCTGCAATGTTCACTTAAAGAAAACAGGACAAAAACACCCCAAAGTGCTAATGTCTGTAGTAGTTCTGAAAGTCTAGTGTAAAGCCTCATCTCTGAACTAACTGTATCATATTCTTAGGTAGCCACATCTTTCAACAGAACTACTGCCAAAAAATCAGACCTGAATGCAAGTTAACACTCATTAAAATAATTTTCCAACCCTTTTTCTCTACTGTTACAGATGCTGTTCTTTGACACTTCTTTACACTACTGCACTACTGGTTTCAAACACAAACTTTGTAATTTTTTTTTATCCTGAAGCCTACAACAGCAATAAACTATTAAGAACAGCCCAGGTGCCTGTAAAAGTCATTTCACCACTGAGAATGACTTCCAATACAAAAGTCACAAGCACTGGTTAACAAGAGTATAAACTTTTAATACTTTACCAGCCTCCATTTTTTCTCCCCACTGTGGAGTCAGAAAGCTTAAACCCTTCCCAATTCCCAACTCGGGAACAAAGAGAGCGTTCACACAACACTTTTTTAAGCAGAATCCGTGACTGGTCATGCTGTTCAAGTGTGCACAGGCAAATCTCAAACATCAGCACACAAGACTGCTTGAATCTCCTTCCTTTGCAACCTTGAAAACTGCTGAATCATCTTATGGTTAACGGTCTCACATCTAGACACAAAAATCAATACACAGGATTCACATGCTGTTTTTCAAGTACACAGTAACTGAGATCTGCTTGGAAAGAAATACATCACTACCTTAAAAACAGGTTAACCAAGATCTTTGGTTTCACTCTGTTAAGTTCCAATTAACTGTTCTCAGCTTGCTCGGCTTTTGGGTAAACTGCAGTTACATACAAATAACAGCAATATTCTACATGTGGCCACCACAAAGTGGAGTGCCAAGAACTGCGTGGTTACTGAACTGTACCCATTTCTCCTGGACTCGAGAGCCTTTGAAAAGGTTCTGCAAAGCAGGTTGGTGTTCAAGCACCAGCTGGCTCCTCACAGTACCCCAGTTTCCCTAGTTTTTCCAACAGTCATCAAGCTGCCAGCCATTTTCCTACTGAAGAGTATGACTCTTGTTAGAACAAGTCTTTCATGTGTGATTCATCACACTAGATACTGGCACTGAGATTAGGAAAAGGAGCCAGCCTGAAGTCCAAGACAGAACAAGCAGCAGGTTAAAAAATGAAACATTACAAAGAATGCAACCTCATTTCCAAAACAGGCTCAAATTAAGCATACCACAGCTGTGATACATCAGCACCCATGGTGCCATGCTTTTCATCTGCCACAAGACTGCTTATTGGGCATCAATTTGGAGCAGTACAGGAGTGGCTGGGTGTTAGCATGACATCACTTCTTATTTATAAATTTTAATATCCCAAAAAAAAGGTAAGAACACAGAAAATACATGAGATTCATGAGGATGCCAGAATTTGCATGGTGGTCCATCTAGCAGCAGTGATTTTCCTATCTTGGGCAACTTAATAAAAGGGAGGTCAAAAAGTGAAAAGCAGGAGGGAGAGGGACTGAGGACTTCAAGGCAGACAACAGAAATTACAGCCCTTGACAGTTTTATCTTCAGTGACAAAAGACCTGAGAGGGGGTCTAGCAGAGATTTCTCATTTCTGGGACTCAGAAAACTGAGATAATCCAAATATTTAGGCAAGACAGGTTTCAGGGAAGTGAGCAGAAAATACTTGATACTGTGGCAATGTTCCAATTCTGCACCTTCAATCTCACTCCTAAGTGGAAGAGTTCACCAACAAGTAGAGCTCATCACAAGGTTTCTCCGATACCATAAGTAAGCATGAGCCAACTGCCAAGTTCATCTACCAGCTTCAACTCAAATTCCTCTATTAATCTGAGATGGGACATAGATCTATCACAGAGCAGACTTCCCTTAACCAGAAGCTGACAGTAAATTAGAGAAGACAGCAGTTGATGATTAAATTATTATTCTGGAACTGCTTTCTTGTCCCCAGAGCAGGTAACTGAAGGCCTCTGGTAGCAATACTCCCACCCCACAACACACAGATCTGACTTGCTATGTAGGAAATGTGCAGTGATTCAGAGAGCCAGCACTGCCCAGACAGCAGCACCAACACAGCAGTCTGTCAACAGCTGAATGCATCCAAAAAGGCTCTCAACCCTTCACAGGCATTACACACCTTCAGCTCTTGCAACAGCTACACTGTTCCAGCTTGCAGTACATGCACTGCTCTATCTCACGAACAGATTTCCTTTAATGTGTCACTGAAATCTGAAGGAAGGCAAGTGCAGCTGCTGTTTGAGTCAGCTGCAGCAAGTTACATCACCACTTTTGTGTCCCTTCTGTACCAAACAAACTTCCTCAACACGAAACACTACAGCTGATGTAAGAAAGATTTCTGTCTCTGAAGAATGACCTGAGATTTTAATCCACCTCCTTCTCCTGATCTAAAACTGACCCACCCACTATTGCTAGTAAATAAAATTTTCATTTAAACACTCAGATTTAAGTTTATTCATACACAGCAAAAGTTCCACCTGCATATTAAAAACAAACAGATTAGAAGTAAATGTTTTATTCTTCCAACTAAATTCCAGTACTACAAGGGCAGTAAAACAATGATACACTGAAAAATTGCAGCAATAAACATTTGTTAAAGACTGATAGAATAAATAAAAACTACAAAAATGAGAAATCATATAAACCCATTCTTAACCCCCAAAAAAGTCATGGAATACAGAAATGCCCTCCTTCACTATTTCACAGGCAGTACTGTGGGCTATTTGCTTAAAATTGTCCTGGGATTACATTCTAACTTAACTGTGATTACAGCTCTGTTGTAGTGCACAGTTATGAAAACCACACTAACTTCAGTCAGAAGTGTCATTCTACATTTTTATTTACACAACCAGTGAAGGGCAACTTCTAGAACACCAGCTTTAATCCTTTACTTTTTCAAACTTATTAACATAAGAAGCCAAATCGTAATGATACAGCAAATGAGGCCACTGGTATTATTACAGGTAGCAAAGGTCCACATCCAGGTGGTACTGACATCAGGGAGCACTCCAAAACCAGTTGCTGCATAAGAGTGGTTGCCACTGACAAAAGCTTGAAATAACCTGTGTTCACAGGGGGGAAAAAATATGGCATTGCTGCAAGTCTTTACTGGGACAGCTTGCAACAATAAAACAGGGTGTATAGGGCAGCCCACATATGCAGAAAGTGTGATTCATGAAACATCTGGAAAGAGAAAAAAAAAGAAGAGTTAATGACAGCACTAACAAGTATCAGCTCTGTGCAAATCTTCTATGGTAGTATCAAAACTGGTTTCAAAACTAAACTCCAGCATGCTATGGGAAACCAGGTCTAGATGTTTTAAACACAGGCTGCATTTTCTCTCGCACCTCCCTTTCAATCTCAATACTCCATATTCTCAGTTTTGAATATTTTACCTTGGGGCCTAGCAGCTTAACAGCAAACAATGGCCATGTAAATTATTGAACACTTGGTAATTCAATGCTGCTCCAGGGACCAGAAGAAAGAGATACTCACAACTGGCAGGCTGTTCTCCATATCGTCGCATGATCTGATCATGCGTGAACTTCACAAATGCGTCATATTGTTCTGCAAGGATGGAACATTGCAAGGATGAGGATTACATTTAAATCCAGCACAAAAATACTCAGGGCTAATTTTTATACACAGAAATCATACAAGTTAAACACACCCCAAAACTAGCAGTAGTTTTAAATAACTTAATACAGTTCATAGCTGCCATTTCTTTTTTTATCCTCCAGAACAATTAAGCTAATGTCCCCTTAATTAAAACTCTCCCATACAAACTTCTGTAAATGAAAAAGATGGCAGTAAACTCAGAGAATTATGCTGCATGTAACAAAGATCTCAATATACCTCACACTTGCTAAGTATCACACACTGTATTTTGAAGAAACGAAGTGTGCCCATTTTACAGATCCATAATGGGGGCAGAGTAGAAAACAAGGCATAAAGGTCAGTACTAGGGTTGGAAACATAATTTGTCTGCTTCTACCACTACCAGATATAAGAAAATAATTTAATGAAATGGAAACACAAAAGTACAGGAAAGGGATTTGCTACAGAGTTAGAAATTGTATTTGCTGACTGCCAGAAAATCAAAAGCAAACAAGAAACTAAAAGGATTAAATAAATGCTAAGTGACTAACTTTTGAGTAATTCTAATCACAGAAGCAGCTGCTATGGGAGACATACAGTTGACTGTGGATTGCATGAAAACAGTAACTCTGTTATCTGAAATGAAATTTTTATATGAAACATACTTGGCTTTGAACTAAGCACTGTTTGAACTGTTATCTCCCAGAAAGGTTATTCTTTCTATGCACACATCCATACAAATACATTTGCAATATTTTATTCAGTTTTAATACTGCACTCATCAGAGCAGGATATCACCTTTTAGAATTAGGAAATTGAACAAGGAGAGTAATATCTACCAGATGCCGCTCCTCTCCATTCCCCTTCCTCCCTTGTGGAAAAATACATGTGCAGCAATGTGGGGTGTTCTGAGAAAAGGGCAAGGTCAAAGAAGGCAATCTTCAACCAAAAATGCAGTTAGATTTGTAGTGGTTCCTAGTCCCACAGGTTTGCCCCAATAAAGTCCCATCCTCTTGCAGGGATGAGCTTCACCTTTGAAGTAAACAGGGTGTCAGTAACCAGCAAGCAGTGCAGCAGCAGCCCCAAAGGTGGAAGCACATTCATTCATCCCTGCCCAAGGGCCTGCAGTCACAGCAGCCTGCTCAGCTCCCCCCTGCCCACAGGCAGCACCTGCCCACTGCACTTCTGACCAGCAGCTCTGCAGCAACCATGTGACTTCAGCCAAACAACAAAATAACACAAAGAGCACACTGAAGGATCCAGTGCACTGAAACCCTTTCAAAAAGTAACACCAACTACAACTTTTCCCAGAAGTATGCATTAAAGGCCAAAATCAAACTTGCAAATTAAAGTGGAAGTCAGCATACACAGCTGCTTTGTAACATTATCTTAGAACTAGGGCTTTGCAATTTTTTTAAAAATCCGATTAGAAAAGCCCCGTTCTTGTGACAGTCAGATTGAGAAGTTAAGCAATCCAAAGGTAGGAGCAGCCTACAGTTAACTTGAGAATATAAGTGAACACTGCACAAATACTTACATCACTGTATCATATACATCCTAACTATTTTAAGTCAGGTGGCTAAATGACACGAACATAAATACAATTAAACTACTATAAAAGGCTGTTCTTCAGAAATTCTTTAAAACCTTTCAAGCTAGTGTTTTGCTAAGGCTCTTGCAAAACCAAGTTTTCGCTAACACAGCAGCTTCAGGTAACAGAGGCAGGAAGAGAAATCAGGGCATTACAGTGATCTGAGTTTTCCATTTACCAAACTTTTATTCTGCATGAAAAGCAACTCTGCTTGCAAGGAACATGGAAGAAGGAAAGAATGGGCAATATCTGGCTAACTACCTACATGACAACTGTGGTTCAGAAAATAGCCAAGATGCAAACGTTCAGTTAAGTAACTTGAGAGAAGCTATTCAACTGAGATTTATCATGGAATTTCCAGTTAATATTTCCTTTGACTTCACTTTTTAACAAGGAGTATCACCTTACTGCATGAAGTTTAGAAAAGGATATAAACATTCTGTCAGCAGACAACCATAACAACCATAACTGGCCTTCCATGAAGGGAATGTCTAAATTCTTTTGCCAGTCTTTAAATTCTCATATAACGTTTAAAATGTATTACTGGCTTAATACATGTGATGCAGTAACATGAGCTTCCTAATTGCTCTTTTGGTGAGCGCTATGGTAAGAACAAGTAAACCTAAATCATCTCACTAAACCACAACTCCCAGATAGAATTCATCCCCTCCCTTTCCCAAAGACAAACCCAGCAATGCTCCTTTTGGGACCAAGACAGAGCAAATGTAACAAACTTGACAGAAGGGCTTCCTGTTTGTTAAGAACTACAAGCTTGTACTCCAAAAGTGTCTAGAAGAAATGTAAATCTATTTGGTCTTCAAATGGTTATGAATCCTGCTAAATGAAATTAATTTAACAAAATACAGGAAATTACTCAATTCCTAACATACATAAATTAGGAGAAAAAGTTCTATAGAGTCCTAATTCATCAGGCTGAAGCAGGTTAAAAAGAACAACACTGGAATGGAACACCAGGCTCCAAGCAGAAGTATGGCTTTAGTTATAGTTTTAAATAGACACAGACTTAAGAGGGACATAGAACTATTGCAATTTCTTACACAGAAATGGCAGATCAGCAGGTGCAGAACATGGGCAGGATCTCAGGTGCAGAGACAATACTATCACAAGCAACCCACGAGCCTGGTGACTTTCTGCATGTGCATGCCTGTAAAAGGTTTTATTCCCACTTGAAGAGATCTGCCAACTTTAATTCTGATGCGTTTTCAGGTGGGAAGCAAAACAGCTGTAGGTATTCAAAAGCACATCTGCAGAACAGTGTGCTCAGATTTTCATTATCATCACACTAGATATTAAATTAGACTCCACATCATACTGTGAAAGCACCTACCTCTGAATGCACAAGAATTTAGGTGCTCAAATGCTAGCAAGAGGCTTAGAAGTAAAGGACCTCAAAAACTGAAGAAAGGTCATTTTACAATGCTGACATCAGCATGATCTTGATGGAAAGATAAGCTGGCATCAGGTGCCAAGAATTTCAGCTGAATTCTAAAAGAATTCAACATGGAGCATCAGAAAAACAGCTGAACTGACTCTCAAGCAGATACCAAACACTGCTGGCAGCAGTGTAATGCTAAGTACTGGGAAGAGAAAGGGAAATCTTAGGTACTGTCATCTTGCCAAATTCCAGAAAAAGGAAGTCAGTTCCCAAGCAGGAGAAAAACAAAACAAAACAAAACAGTCCTTCAAAAAGAGCTCTCTACAGGCAGTCTTTCTGAAGAAGAAGGGGAAAAAAAAGGGAAATTGTCAATTCAGACACAGTAGCAAGAGAAAGTTCTAACTGAAATAAAACTGTCTTCACTGAGTAGTAATAAATAAGAGTCATACTTTCTATCCAAAGCAGCACAGAAGGAAAAAACCTATCAAAGGGAGTAAACATCATTTTTTCTGTCATGTATGCAACCCCATTCCTTCATCAGATTAGGTCAGAAAAAACCATACACTCTATAACAAAAATAAGAGAAGTTTTAAGCTTTCAAAGTCACTCTGACTTATATTATTCTGAACTGTAAGATACCTGCAAGTTTTGTGGTCAAAATTTCTTCATACTCTTCACGGATTTTCTCTTCACGTTCTTTCAGCAAACGTTCACAGATCATTCCAACTTGTCTGAGAGTAAACAGGGGCTGTTCTTTTTTCAATGGTGATGATGCTGCAGATGAAGTACCTAAGAGTAAATATTTGGGCATACCAATTTACAATTACAAGTAGACCAGAACCAGTTTTTTATAATCAGTTTTTTTCACACTTTTTACATTAAAGGAACTCTACAAAACATTTGAAGATTTTGATCCTCGTAATTACTACTGAAGCTGGACTGGATGCTCAAAAAGGAAAACATCTGTAATGCACAACACTCACAACCATCAAAACCCCAGGAACATCATGCAAACACTGTGAACACCATTTACATGGCAGCTGCCACACACAAATTTAAGCTTCTATTATATATAAAAATTATAGTGTAGGATATTGGTGCCAAGACAGCTGCTCTGCAAAAGCCTATTACAGTATCAGTGACAGCAGGCAGGATGGTCCCCTGAAAACAACGCCAGGTTTTTGTCTGACCAATTTTTAAAATGCAAAGCTACCATCTTCCAGACCAATAGCACTACTGCCAACAAAAGCAGCAGTAACTAGTGGGAATGTGTCATAACACAACAGGTAATGGGGAGAACTATTTACTCAAATGGAATCTGACACAATAACAGAATAGAGCAGAATTACACACACAATTTATGGCCAAAAAACAACAGTAACTGGTGACAAGGCACCATAAACCACCAAGTAACTAGAAAAAGTTGTTTACACAAGCAGAGTCTAAGAAAACATAGGAAAATTACACAGAATTATCTGAGTACCTGGCAAAGCTGGTCCAGTGAGGAGAAATGCATGTGGCTGTGCATCAGTAGAACAACAAGGATCTGTCTGCTGGAAGCTATTTTCTAAATGTCTTCTCTTCTGCATGCGTTTGTACTCCTGTTTTATGTTGTACAGAATTTGTTCTAAAAAGAGGAAAAAAACAACAAAAAACCCTAAAATAATTATCTTTATATTTCACCATTTTGCTTGATTTCCATTCAAACATCAGATGCTGTAGATAAATAGCAGATGATAAAGAATAGGCAGACTGTTAAAACATAACCTGCAAAAACAATGTCTTACCTAAGACATAAAACCATTAAACTAATTAAAAGAAAGGTAACCCAGGCTATTTTCACCAGGAGAACACCAGCAAAATTGTTCTTATTTGAGGTCAAGTATTGGCACCAGAGTACTGCTAACAAAAAAACCCAGCATCCTAAAATTTAGGAATGATACCATGTGCATGGATAAAAATTTGTCAATAAAACTTATACTTGTATTAACTACCTTTGCTTCATATACTTAATCTTTCATTTAATCTTTCATGTCTGCACAGCATTTATCACTCATAGAATTAAGAGTAACAAGACACTCAAGAACAAAACAGCCACCTGACATGCCATTCCTCTCTGCAGGCTGTCCTACAGGCAGCACACTGAAGAGGAAAACACCATTTAGACAACATGCATTAAGCATCTACTGCTTAAAATATGAGAGTTGGAAACTGACAGGAAAAATACAAAAGCTTTTCACAACATTTTTGACAGTCTCAAATTTATCCAAATAAAATACAGGGGATGGATCAACAGCCTCTTTCAAAGGAGTATGGCAATATGTAGTGCAGCTTTTAATTGCAATGAATGAAGTACAGCAAGTTTTTAAATAATCTCATCTCCACTGTAGAATCATAAGGGAAAAACTAATCCTTGTAACAGAACTACCAATCCTGTGTGCCTTCTCTCTGAAATTCCACATACCAAATGGCTCTCAGGTGCATCAGTGGCATAATTGCATATCATCTAGCAATGTAAAATACTCAAGAAAAAAAAAGGAAATTTTCTATTTTTTATATTCTTCCTATAAAGAAATTTCCACAGATTCTCATCCTTTATGAGAACTCTTAAATGCTCAAATGCTTCAAGAAAAAAATACCTGCACAACGGGCTTCCAATGACACTTCTAGACTTTTTAGCAAGGACAACTTCCCAAAACTCAGGTACATATAAATTCAAAGGATTACGTCAGAGTTACAAAGGACTCCACTCAGACCCTTCCTACTTCTGTCACATTTTGCCAATACAATACCATGAAAACTTAAACCAAATTTCGTGTTTGTAATCCATGTGCTGCTGAGGTTCCATATCTGAACATTTCTGGTAAGGAACCATGTGATGCAGGTACCTTCACCCACCACCTTCTTCAGTCAGTGACTGAAGCCTCTGCTACACCAAGTGGAAGCAAACACAATTCTCAGTTCAGTTGTTTAAATACTGTCATGTTCAATTCCATGAGTCAGTCTAGAGACTTCCAATTTACAAAAAGAGAGAAAACTGTTTTGAGTCAACAGAAGTGTGTGTCAGCAAAGGAGCTTCTTGGATAATGTCCATTGATTAAGGACTTGATACCTTTTCAATCCCAAGCCTGCAGCTGTAAAATTTTCAACTCTCCAATGGGAGGTCAGTAATATGGTTCAAAGAAGCAGCAAATGCAGAAGAGAGTAATAAAACAGTAATAAAAAAGCACAGCAGGTAAATTAAGAGAAGAAATCACAAGAAAGTGGTGCAGGGGGATGGAGGATTCATACTTTCTGTAGGACAAGACACAAACACTCTTGTAAAGTACCAAAGTAAATAAATAATCTTAAACCAAGATGCAGCCAGGCTTCCAAAATGAAACAGAATCCCATGCAGAGGTGATCATGTGCATACACACACCCCTCAGAGAGTGGCCTAACAATATTGTACCCAATGGCATTGTGGTGGCACAACAACACTTCTCCTCAGAATCAAGAGCTGCTCTGGCTCCAGTGATACTGCATAATTCTGAATGGGAACCCAATTAGCTCCTGTCATCATCTGTCCTAAAGCATGTTCACACTGTGACAAACATGACTGCACATATTCACACTGCATCTGTATTAACTGAAGAACATAACAGACCCTGACCATCCTTCACTATGAATACTTGGTCCTGGCCATACTTTCTGAACTCCATGTGAACTGCAAAAAAATTAGCCAAATTTCAGGTGTAACAACTTAAATAAAACTATTTTCTACACTTCTCCTTTCATATATTTGCAGAAACATTCTCAAACCACATTAACCACCAAAATCATTAAGGACAAAAAAAGTAAACAGATTCTGGTCAACTGATGAAACTACAAGAGTTAAATCAATAATCATATGCTATGTCTCCCTCAGTCCTAACAAAACCTAGAATTTAAACAAGGAATAACTTAGAGAAAATGTTAACATACCAGCCAGGATAGAAGGAGGAAAAGCAAGGGGGGAAGCAGGGAGAGGAGGCAGAGAAATCAGGTGTGGACTTTGGGACAGAAAAATCAAGATTTGTGCACCAAAGATACATTACTCTATTCTGAATTATACTGAATTGTGGACAAGAAGTCTCAATGATATTACAGCAATTTCATCTACTTCTAATTTGGCAACACTTTTTAAATTACCACCTTCAAATCTTGCTGTGAAAATCAAAAATCTCAAGAAACACTACTGACGTATCCAGGAGATCCCCATCCTGACAAAATCACTTTAACAGCTGGCATTACTATGACTTCAGCTGAAGGTACAGAACTAAGCAAAGTTAAAGAGAAAGGACTATTTAAACATGACACTGACTACAGTGCAAGGAGGAGAAAAAAAGCCTGAAATGTTAAGCACTGACTGAACACTTGCCAAGCATGCCCATAACCTGGGTTGGAAAATGGGATTCCTCCATTCAGACTAACTTAGAAGATTTAAGGCACAGCTGCTCAGCACAGAGAACTGGACTGCAAGGCATTCTCAGTACCTTGCTGAGAGCAGGAATGAGACTGACTCTTCTCACACTTCCCATATCCTCCTCTTATAAAAGGGAGAACAACAGCCAAGAAATGCAAGTTTAACATAGCACCAAACTTTCAATGACATCTCACATGCTTCAAATAAAGCAGGCACATTTTTATATCAGCAAAGACTAAGCAGACATTCTTATTAACTTACAGTAGCATAAAATCTTAGACTTAAAACTATTTCACTGTGAAGTGAAATGTAAGCCTGCAAATATTTATGACTCATTTTAAATGAAAATCTGAATGCCAAATTAAAATAATTTAATACAGTAAGAAACTGCTTAAATGCACCAAGTTACTTCTCCCATTTACTGTTCTGTTTTGTAATTCCACACAAATATATTAACAACATTTTTATAGCATCTCAGCACTTGCAGGAAGCCATGAAATATTAAGGTAGTGCAAACCAGAAAACTTCTGAACACCACCTAACAGCAGACATCCAACTGTAAAGAATTTTAAAACTGACCCAGTTAAACAAAGCTTAGAATCAGTAGATCCAACCTACTTTTGCTTCCAGAAAACCTTCCTGCTTTTTCAAGTTCAGTTTTTCAACTTCTCCAATTAGTTCTGACTGTTCTCTCTGCAGTGCACAACTGACTTAAAATGTGCACTGAACTGGTGTCAAATAGCAGTTTTTTATGTGCCTCAGTGTGGAGGCCCAAATTGTCCTTTAAAAAATGACATGCATTTTAATTAGCAGATTATTTTATATGTAAAAAATTAGAATCTGAAAGTACACTCATTAAAGAAAATCTATCATCTTCTTTAGGACTATAAATTTTAAGTGAGAACTTGCATCACGTATATCACAACTTATTAGATATTTTTAACAGAAGCTTTAATCCATCTTGAACATACACTGAAGTTCAAATCAGATATTGTACATTCAAATACATCCTACATTTGTACAATAATATTGTACAAATCATTTCAGACAATGATTTGATCTGAGATTACAAAAGGAATATATTTAATATGATGAAACACACATCATTGTGGCCTCTCCTCAGTTTCTCCATAATCTGTGTGCCCCCTGTGCTCAGTGTTTTTTACTGGTTAGAGAAGCCTCTGAAAGCACAGAGCTATTGAACAGGAAACACCAGGCACAGGTGCTCTCAGTGAAACCAGACTTGCCAATATGCTGTAGCAGCAAGAAAAAGCCACACTGCTAAGACACAGAAATGAATTAGTACTTCATAAATAGCATTTCAAATTCAACATCACTATCAATCTCTACCAGTTACACAATAATCTGTTTTATGCCCCCCTGCTCTTTCAGGTTCAAGGCTAAGATCAAGAACGACAAATGAAAACTGCTATCGCCTCACCATGACCACCAAAGGCATCAGGGATTCAGTCAAATATACCCAAATATCATGAAATACATGAATACTCTTCTTTGTTTTTTTCTTGCTGTGTACTGAGAGCATAAAGTTGAGTACACAGGTACTTTAAATTCTGCATTAAGATCTTTCAGAACTTGAGATGCCATTTGCAGAACAAAGATTTCCAAATGAAGAGAGGATGAAATATGAACAGGGTAAATTAGACTTCAAGTTTGACATCTGAAATATAATTGTCACACTAATGGATTGCAAAGCCAAATATTCACTTCCAAGGAGTGATGTAGTCTTCCTACTTTCTTTAATTCATGATAAGAAGTCAAGTTAATATTTTTCAAAATTCTGCCATCTAATTACTTCACCCTGACCTGTAATTACCTAGAAATTATGTACAAAGCAAATGGCAGTTCAACTTAGAAAGTTTAAAAGGCAAACAATTATTTTCTTCATTTTAATAACTGCTTATCAAATATGAAGGTGCTGGTTGTTTCACCTGAAGGACTTTCTTCTTTGGGCTTGATTTGAAGCTATCAATTTCACATCACAGTTCCTGACTTCTCTCATTTAACTAAAGGAAAATTCAGCAAAACACACAGGAAGGTGACTCAGTGTGCTGCAATCAGAGTAGCAGTCTTCCAGGCCTGAAATGGAACCTTTAGCTCAGGTTTCAGTTGGCAATGTCACCATTCAACATATGCATTCAAACTTGAACCATGCCTGAGATTTC